CTGTCTGTGGTTGTCTTTGGCTCAATCGTGTTGCTCATGCTGTGGCTTCCCATCAGGCTGATAAAACTACTGCTGCCCACCTTCCTCCCATACAATGTCATGCTCTACAGGTAACCAGCAGACATAACAAAATTATAGGCCACTTATTAATATTTTGTGCGAAACCTGCTGCTCTGTTTCTCTAAAATGCTCTGAGAAACCACTTCCTTCTCAGGCCAGATCATTCTCATCACAGCACATCTCGAATGGAAATGTTAACAGCATTGCCAATGTAAATGTTCAAAAACTAGAATTGCGGTGACTTATTCTTTTGTGTGTATGATATATGCTATAAGAACAGACAAAGGTCTGATTTTGTCAGATAAAATGAGACATGAAATCGAAACCACAAGCACTGTTCTGTGCAACTCAGTGGCACTTACACTGGTGCACAATGTTGTCTTTTTCTGACCCTCTCCACCTCTTTCTTCGCAGTGATGCCCCAGTCAGTGAGCTATCTTTGGAGCTATTATTACTTCAGGTTGTGCTTCCAGCTCTACTTGAGCAGGGGCATACTCGCCAGTGGCTCAAAGGCCTGGTTAGAGCCTGGACAGTCAGTGCTGGATATTTACTGTAAGTCAAATTTGAATACATTTCGTACATTTTAAACTAGAGTCCCTGTCCCCACTAGCTGCCTGTAACTGACTGACTACTTCTCATTGTCTCCAGCGATCTCCACTCCTACCTCCTTGGTGAGCAGGAGGACAATGATGCTAACCAGCCTGTTAACAACAACAATAATAACAATCCTCCCCATGGTCATCACAACAACAATAACAACCCGGCCCCAGCTGTTGGTGAGGGGCTTCATGCAGCCCATCAAGCCATTCTGCAGCAAGGGGGACCAGTGGGTTTCCAGCCCTACCACCGACCTCTTCGCTTCCCATTTAGGGTGAGACAGTCCCATGATTTTGAATGTGCAGCTATAGTTTCAGGATTGGGCTTTGTTGAATTTCAATCACACATAGATGGAGGTATTGAGAATAGATGATGCACTAGTCATTTCTATGAAAGCTGCTCACTGAGCACACATGTCACATGTTTTGTTTCCATGGGCTTCTGTGTTTCCAGACCCATAGTGCATGTGTACTGTAGGTTTTCTCTACCCAAGCCAGTTGAGGGCATGCATGTCCTTGACTTCTGCACACATAAATGGCATAAATGTACTTTAATGGCTCTTATTGACTTTCCAGTGGGTTTGTGGGTTTGCAGTGTTCCAAAAAAATGTTTTCATTATTGTAATGGCTGCTCTTTTCCCACTAGATGTGTATGGGGAAAAAAATACATTTTAGGCCAGTGTCCGTCTGTAATGACCACCCGAAAAGTGATTCTCAACTCAGCTACATTCCTGGGGCCTTGGAAATACACAATGTCACTGTTTTTTTTTAATTATTATAAGTATGGAGACTGTAGCGCGCAAAACCCCACAGTCATAAAATATGTCTAAGACACCCAGGTCAGGTCAAACAAGGCAGTGAAAAAGCTATAGCTAGCGCACTCAGCTTTCCATGCAACTGCAATTTCCGCTGTACATTTTACCAAGCCTGCTGAAAATGGACACCCTTAATTTATAGATATCTTAAGCTTTCCAGAGAGATTGCTTGCAGGCAGCAGGGATGAAAAGAGTTGCAGGGACAAATAATACTCTTTAAGTGATAACACAGTGATTCAGGTCAGTGTTCATCTGAACATCAAATCATTCTAAAACAGATGTAGGCTATTTTTATACACAACACAAGTCTTTTGAAAAGAGACATACTAAGCCACCTATTATTTGTGGTTTGAGTCAAATTTAGAAATGTACCAACGCCCTACGTACCTCTTACTGCGAATCTGAGCCCCTACAACTTAACTCCCAGTTATTGCACTCCTCCTCTTTCATGTTAAAGACATTAATCTCTGTGAGCTTATTGAAATAGTCTTACACTTTGCAGCAGGAGTGTATGAAATTCAGTTTTATAGTATATACAGTTTAGACAGTACAGAGAATAGATTTGTTATACAGCGTGTTCCATTTTAAAGCTTTTGTTCTAAACTGTGTTGTCTTTTCCCAGATTGTGTTGCTGATAGCCTTCATGTGCATCACTCTGCTAGTGGCCAGTCTGGTGTGTCTAACCCTACCAGGTGAGACATTGAGGCGTACAGCTGAACCAGATTATTTTCCACTCTGTGAACCCATACCCAAACTATAATTAAAATGAGTCCCTCTCTCTCGCTGTACATATATAGCACATCTGCACATATGTACACGTCTCTGCTATTTAGTTTTAAGCTTAAACTGTAATTTACTTCCTCTTCTACCACAACAGAGCAGGAAATGGTGTGTTCATTTGTTTTTTCACCTGTGTTTCAGTATTCACCGGCCGCTGGCTGATGTCCTTCTGGACAGGAAATTCCAAAATCCACGAGCTGTACACAGCAGCATGCGGTCTGTATGTCTGCTGGCTGTCTATCCGCGGAGTCACTGTTCTGCTGGCGTGGATGCCGCAGGGACGCACTGTTATCATGCGCAAAGTCCAGGAGTGGACTCTCATGGTAAGTATAAATGAGCAGCTTCGGATGTTGGCAAATATCAAAACTGGCCAGCACAGTGTTGTGCTAATTAGTTGCTCTCATCTGACCCATTAAACTGTCGTGCGTTGGGCCTGAATACAGTTTTTTGTTAACTGGTTGGATACCTTTTACAACTCATTAGGTGATATCATGAATTAGCCAGCAACTCTCTAAATGTAATATCCCAACACTGGGTCTGTTTTCAACCCTATCAGTGCTGCAACTTTTTGTCCCATTAAAGAGAGCATTTCCAAAGGGCAATAATTCAACTTAGATGCATGTTTTCTTAAACTGAACTGTCACAATTGATTGTGTTCATTGTGTATCTACACGTTTGTATAGATCCTGAAGACCCTTGTTGTTGCCCTGCTGGTTGCTGGAGTCATTCCACTACTACTGGGCCTGCTGTTTGAACTGGTCATTGTGGCTCCTCTCAGGGTACCCCTGGACCAAACACCCCTCTTCTATCCCTGGCAGGTATGATTGTGCGCCAACATGTTCCTGTCATTCTGTCACTCGTTTCCCAGCAGGATCTTGGAAAGTACTGTGAGTCAGTAAGAGGTTTTTACATTTATGTTCATCCCTTGATCTCATCTGCAGGATTGGGCTCTGGGAGTGCTTCATGCCAAAATTATTGCTGCCATCACTCTCATGGGCCCTCAATGGTGGCTGAAGACTGTTATTGAGCAGGTGGGTTTTTAATAGATATTAGACCCAAACTCTTCTAATTAAGAATGGATTTTAAACTGTTGACTTCTGTACAGTGTATATACTGCATTTGAGTGGTTAGTCTGTGCCCTTGTTAGAAAATCTGGATTAAAGCTCCCATGTCACTAAGAAATCACTCTGCTCTGGTGGCTTTGAGCTTAACTGTAGATCCCTGCCATGTTTATTTGTGCTGGGGTTTTTTGGGAGGGGGGGTATTTTGCACGCCTTGCATTCTGACCTGCTTAAAGCATAAAAAGGACAACAATTTCTAAATAGAAATCAGTCACATTGTAATTACCTCTAGGGTATAATATCTGTAAACTCTCTTCTTAGGTTTATGCAAATGGAATTCGCAACATTGATCTCCAGTTCATCATCCGTAAACTGGCAGCTCCCGTCATCTCAGTCCTGCTGTTGTCCCTGTGTGTGCCGTATGTGATCGCTGCTGGGGTGGTGCCAGCTGTAGGTCAGTATCTGAGTACATGCGGATCACTGGGAAAGTTCATGTTAGCAAGGTTTTCATTTTTCATCTATTAAGTTGAAGATGTTTCAGACCAAAACAGAAGCATTAATATAATATACATTGCAATCTCAGTGGCAAAAGAAGACGAGTTAAGCTTCCATTAGATTTACACTGTCAATATTTGTTTGTTTTTTTCCATTTAGCAACTACTTCACATTCCAGCAGTGTCTGCAAAATATTACTTTTTCCTTACTAACTTTTTACTCTTTTGCAAGTAAGGGACTTTGGCTGAATGATATATAACTGAACACGTTAAACATTGCTTTTGCAGGAGTTACTCCAGAGATGGAGATCCTAATGCAGAGGAGAATCTACCCATTCCTCTTGATGGTGGTCTCTCTTATCGGCATCCTTTCCTTCCAAATCCGACAGTTTAAACGCCTTTATGAACACATCAAGAATGACAAGTAAGGATCTCTGAGTCTTTGTTTCTGCTTTAGTTTGTAATGAAGCAGTGATAACCGGGCTTTTTAAATGTGTGCAACAATCAGGATGGTGTTTAGAGAGTAAGTTTCCATTTTGAATAAATTTAAGCTAAACACATCTGGTTTTCCATGCTAGTTGGATGGTATTGGTTTAAATTGGTTTAAAAATTACATTTTTAAAGTTAAAAAAATGTCTTTCAACAAAAAGAATTACAGCAATAATACTGTAATAATCTGTCTTTGCAGGTACCTGGTTGGCCAGAGGCTCGTCAACTATGAACGAAAAGCTGGCAGAGGAAGCTCAGTCCCACCCCCAAACCCTGTTGCGGAGTAAATTTTTGTGTCACATGTTGCCACATTTTTGCACCTCTTACCCTGCGTACGGCCTGTCCAATCCTTAACCCCCATCCTTTTTGATTTTCAACTCAGTCCTCGGACCGTAATCCTTTTTGAATCTCCTGTGGATCTTGGTGGATTTGATGGATGTTGTTCAGTTTCTTTCCATGCCCATCAAAGATGGGGCAGGAAAATGTATTATAATCATGGGACAGCAAAGTAATCCCCTCCAACAAAACAAACGGCGTAGGCATGAGGGTTAAAGGTTTGATTTAAAGCTCAACATCTGTATTGTCATCCATGCCTTGCTTTGTAAAGTGCTGCCTGATAATTGTACATGTGTAAATACTTTGAACGCAGACTTTGTCTTTAAAAAGAAGGACAGATGTGGATTAATGCAATGACCATTGTACATCTTAAAAGTGTATGTATAATTTATTAAATCAAAATGACAGTTTATGTTTTTTGTTGCATGTGTTCTTAAGACAATCTGGTAGATGATCCACAACTGTTTACACGTCATCATGGTTTCATTTAGACCTGAGTGATGAGAATTCATTTGAAGTCCTTTTTTATGACATGATTGAATCAAAGGCTGTTCATAAAGTTGTGCTATACAGATATCCCACATGGAAGCATGATCAGTATACAATCGGGGGCGGTGTGATTGCCTCATCCTTTGGTATTAGAGGAGATTGGAGTACAATTCCAAATTCCTCTGCTAGAATACCAGGGATCTCCTCTTCTTCGAGCTCCCTGGTTGAGGTTTCCACTACACCTCCTGTTGCTTCCGTTGGAAATGTGGTGGTGATGAGCTTGCGGCCAATGTAAGTGAGCCTTCCATCTGGTTTTAAAATGGTGCAGAGGGACTTGCAGAAGAAGATGGAAGAAGGAGAGCTCTGGTGATAATTGCACATCTCAGTGAAGTCCTCCAGACAGCGAGGCTCAAGGGTGAACTTGTAGATCTCTGCCCAGTCTCCATCCGCACCTCTGTTCTCCTCCCTTTGCCACTCCAGGAAGCACATCCCCTCCGTCTCTCTGATCCGGTACACACGGTGGCCCTGCTCCTGGGGGCCGCCAGTGTCCAGTGACAGCGGTACCGTGAAACCCGGGACCCCGAACCCGACGTCGCACAGCCACTTCCGGCCGTCCAGAGTCACCATGTTGATGAGATGGTCGAAAGGCGGCCCGTAGCGACCCGTGATCGAGTTCTTCACCTGGCCGGAGAGCACCGTCACCTGGAAGCCGAGCTTGGCGAGCAGCCAGGAGAAAAGGGAGTTGTTCTCAAAGCAGAAGCCACCTCGGCGCTGGTTCACGATCTTGTCGTACAGAAGGTGGAGGTCGAGCCGGACTCGTCCGCCGCTGTGAACCGTGAGGTCTTCAAACGGCACCGAGAGCAGGTGACGGGTGTGAACCGACCGCAGAAGCTCCAGGCTGGGCTCTGAGGGGGCCGTCAACCCGATGCGAGACAAGTATTTCTCCACGTCCATCTCCACAGAAGCGGCACTGTAGTTTCACTTTCAACTTTTGGGTAATTTACTATTAAACACACAGACTCTGACCTGTGAGTTTGCAATACACTTCCTGCAGCTGGATGTTGCGTTCAAAGTCCACCGAACTGAAGCAAGCTGGGGGAAAATAAGTTTTTTAAAACGCGCAAATAAACTGAGTAATCGGTTTAAAATTCGCATTAATTACACATAAATAAGTTGGTGACTTTTTTAATTGAAAAGTGGCTGTGAAGTTGATTTTAACTGACTTTTTTTTTTTTTAAACCGCTGATGAAAACAGAAGTGCTCAGATGTTCAGACCTCCTCCTGTCTCGTTCTGCTCAGCTGACGTCAGCCCGTCGACACTCCCTTTTCCCCAGCAGAGGGAGAAAGATGGCGCCCACACACGTACTGAGATGCTGTCAACGGGGCTTAGCATGGATACCTGTGATTTTTATCGCCCTGGTCGTCTGCTGGTCGTATTACGCCTACGTGGTGGAGCTTTGTATATGTAAGTAGTCCTCCTGCCGCCGTGCGTTGCCTGTTGAAAGCCGTTAAAACGCCGGTGTTTTCATTGTGCCCCGCTGTCCACACACACAAAAAACACACACAGCTGCCTGCTTCTGGCCAGCAGGAAGTAAATGGACTGCAGCTCAACAATGGTGTTGGCAAGCCTGTCTAAATGTAGATACCGCTAATTATCTTTTCGCTTTGGCTATTTTATGTTCTTTCGGCCGAAGGAAAACTTTCACCGTGGTGTTAATGTGAGCTGCCCGTCTTGTCTCTGTGGTTTTGTGTCGAGCTGAATAGAGGCTGAATGGAGAATTAAAACGCCAACTAAACGGTATTTGGCTGCCCGGCCAGATAAATACTTTTCCTCCAAACACACTACCGGGACCCGGTAATTGGCTTGGCACATGTGAGGAGTTGCGGCTTGCGGGCTGATGAGAGATAGTGCTGTAAAATGGTAGTTAAATGGAGGAAAACACCCGGTTGAACGAATTCTAGATGATGTACAGCTTGTGTACTTGAGTAGTTTTTAAACTTTATTGACATCAGATATACCCCCACACAATCTGCTGACAGGGTCTAATGCTCAGTCTGGTGATGTGCACAATTTAAAAAGTGCACTTTAATACACATACAAAAAGATGAAACACCATCAAGACTAGATCAATAGCACCAGCCTCGTTTGAGCTGTCAAATGATTTATGTCTATGCCTGATCCCAGTTTTACAAATTATATGGCCTGGGTGTGCTCTTAAGTTACGAGCAGTGACTTTTATTTCCCCGATTTCCTCATCTGAATGACATTTAGATCAAAGTATGCCCTATTTTCCCCCAAAAAAGTCTAATTTGAACAAAGTTGTTGTTGAAAGTTCCCATTTTTCCTCAACAGATGGAGTTTTGAGCTCAAATGTGAATTTTTCTGACCACTTTTCATCCACATTGCACCAATATTTGAATGTGATATTCATAAATGGCTTTAGAAAAGACAACAATAAGTTATTAAAGTGCTCTGAATTTTTTTAATTTGAGTGGACAATGTGTATCTGCTGGTACAAGCTGATGGTTTGATGGTTTTGCCAATTAGAGGAAAGTTAAGTTACATTTTTGGTTACAGAAGTGTATATTATCCCTTTCGTCTTTTGATTTGTCAGATTTCTTTTTGTGCCACATAGGGGGTATCTAACCCTCAGTCTGGGAAACACAGACTCAGGATTACAGTACCGCCTTATTATTTTGTTAAGTATGATTTGCATCAAATGAAATATGGATAAATTACACGACGCTCACTTTCCCCTGCTCCGCTGGAGTCGTACCCGCTCATTTATATGCCTCTGTAATTAACAGCCTCCTTGACAGTCTAACATGTATATTTTCTCTGTTTCATCTTTTGCAGTCACCATCCCAAGTATAGGAGAGAAGAGTAAGTGTCCCCAGGGATCAAAACAATGTTTATTTCATCTGTTGTGAATGGAAGTTTTCTGAACTGAGCCAGTTTGCCACTTATTGGGATAATCTCTCTGTTGAAATGTGCTCTGTAGACTTGGCTAAAAAAAGGCTGGCACAGGAAACATTTTTTTTCCTCTCAAAGTGCTGAGGCTTGCCTCCTTGAAGCCCAGCAGCTCCTCCTCATTCGGCATTAGCAATTAGCTTTCCTCTCATTAATTAACCATGTAGATGTACAGTTTGTTCTTGTAGCCCATATCCCCAGCAGCAGTGGCATTCCCTTATATCGACTTGGCTGTGTTCAGTGTCAATGCACAAATTAGCTGTGTATGATGTTGATCCTAATGCTCAGTTTTCCCTCTTCCAGTCATCTACCTGATCTTCTTCCACCTCTCTTTCATCATGTTTGTATGGTCTTACTGGAAGACCATATTCACCAAGCCTGCCAACCCTTCCAAAGAGGTATAATAGCCTGTTCTCCAAAGCAAACCCACTATGTCTGCAATCCCATAAAATGATCCTTGTAAGTATAATAAGAAGCCTGTGCTGCCCTTTTCTCGTCAGTTTTGCCTGCCCAAGGCTGAGAAGGAGCGTTATGAGAAGGAAGAGAGGCCAGAGTCGCAGCAAGAGATCCTGTGGAGAGCTGCCACAAGCCTGCCTCTGTACACCCGCACAGGCGCTGGAGGTATGTTTGTGTCACCAGATGTAAATGAGAATGAATTTGTCCGTTGGTGTTTACCTCTATGTTTAAGCTGTCCAGTAATGACGTGCTATTATGTTGCAGCAATCCGTTACTGTGACCGCTGTCAAGTGATCAAGCCAGACCGATGTCATCACTGCTCAGCATGTGACATGTAAGAGGAGCTTATCTACTGAACACTAACTGTGACAATTCCTCTTTCTGTTCCTCTCAGTGCTTAAAGTCTAAAACCATATCTTCTCGTCTTTCCTTTTCTTTTCTGTTTATTTACCATCTATGGCAGGTGTGTGCTGAAGATGGACCATCACTGTCCCTGGTATGTAGGACCTGCGTTCTGCTTTTACATGTCTGAGTTAGGATGATTCACACTTTATGCCAAGCGCATTTGCTCCAGATCCATCAAGGTGTCTAGTGTTTACACTTGAGTATGAAGGTCAAATCTTATCAGCTGTTCTTTATACTTTGAAGTGAGGCTTTAAAAAAAAAAGTAAGCCAAGAGCAAACTGCATAACTAATGTTAAAAAATACATTATGCATGTTGCCCATACAGCTCAGAAAACACTTAAAATTGCACATGGAAGTTGGGTGTTTTACAATTTTTTGACAGCACGCATCTTAAAGCTGTTTAAGCTCTGTTTAAACATTAACCAGTGAAGGAAAACCATTTGTTTGGTGCTACTGACCAGCAGCACAAGGCCGCCACCTTTTGTAAAGCTGAGCTTGATAAGATTTCTTCTCCGAGGGAGCGATGTCAAAATGTGACCCTTTGTGTGTCCACAGGGTGAACAACTGTGTAGGATTCTCCAACTACAAGTTCTTCATCCTCTTCCTGGCCTATTCGCTGGTGTACTGTTTGTTCATTGCGGCCACAGTTCTACAATATTTCATAAAGTTCTGGACAGTGAGTAATGACGCACAGACGTCCGCTTGCTTAAATCCAGCATGAAGTCAATGTGTGTGTCTGTGTGTGTGTGTGTGTGTGTGTGTGTGTGTGTGTGTGTGTGTGTGATGCAGATGCAGATTCGGTTGCACGTCAAAACCGGGAAGAGCATCCCTTGAGTTGGTTGTGCATGGTGCTGACCTCTCCTCTCCTGCACTGCGCTGTGCTGCTCCTCTGTTTTCTCTGTCCTCTCTCACCCTTCACCCTCTGACCCCTCTCTGTTTCCCCTTCTGTTATCCCCAGTTCCTCGCACACTGGGTCATTGTTCTCTGATCTCTCTCGTTTTCCATCTCCCTCTCCACTATCAGAACCATCAGTCACACCACTCATACGACCGCAAACACCTCCTCTCTTTCTTGTATTTTCTCTCTTGTAGCTGCTCTGCGTCGATTTCCTCTCATCTCTTCCTCTTTCATCCCTTTGTTCTCTCCATTCTGGGCACAGTTTGCTCATTCACCCACTCTCTTTCTCTCCCCCCCCCCCTCCGTTTTACCCAACTTGGCCTTGACTTGTATTTGCCTCCTGATTTCTAAGTGCTCCCCCTCCTCTCCTGCCTGTTCTCTCCTGGTGTTGCTAACCAGTCTCGTTTCTGTTTGTACTAAAGCTTTGCCGGAGGAAATCGGCAGAGAACTGCCCAAAGGTAACCCAGCCATCCTCCGAAGCCTTTCGTGTTGCAGTGCTTCACCATCATTGCCATGGTTCATGTCGTGATCTGCATGCAGTGACGTGATTCCCATAAGACTCTTCTTATTTCTCCGTCACTCTCTCTGCCTTTTTCTTTTTCTTTTTTTTCTTTTTTTTTTTACCTTCTCTCTCAAGTTGCTCTTCCTTTCCATAAATATCCTCAGTGTGAATTTGTTATTGATTCCTGTCTCGCTCTCCTCTTCTCCCATCTCTTCCCCAGAATGAGCTGCCAGACACTCACGCCAAATTCCATGTCTTGTTTCTTTTTTTTGTGGCGGCCATGTTCTGCATCAGTATTTTGTCCCTCTTCAGCTACCACCTGTGGCTTGTAGGGAAGAACAGATCCACTATAGGTAACAAAAACACACACATTCACCAGGCGTTTCTGGCATGTAGTCAGCTTTAAAAATGTGAACATGTTTCTCTGTTTGATTAAAATATGTCTCGCCCTAATTGCTTGACTGCTACAAACACATATAAGACCTCTGTTCCATTTTTCATCAGATGAAGGTTGACTTTTGTTTTGGTGTTTGTTTAATGCCTTCGTTATTTGTCCTCTCCCTCCATGATGCTCCCTCCCTGCAGAGGCGTTCAGAGCACCGGTCTTTAGGACAGGCTCTGATAAGAATGGCTTTTCTCTGGGTTTCCGGAAGAATATTGCTCAGGTCTTCGGTGATCAGAAGAAGTACTGGCTGCTGCCTGTCTTCACCAGGTAAAGTGTAGCATTGAATAGAGTAAATCAAGATGGTCTGATAAAGCCATCAATACTAGATTCAAGCTAAGATTTGATTTTAGTTACTTTCTGTTACATCTGTGGTTGAATTGTCAGCACAGTATTTGTTAATGTGCCAAAGTTTGTTTGTTTTTTTATCTAAAATGGACGTTTTCATGCTAAAATAAGAGCTGCTTTTAAATATCAGATTGCTTTCGTTGCAGGTTTCTATGAAAACCTAACCTTGGTGATGTTCATTATGCTAACGCACGGCTCCAGACTAACTTCTTTACTGGTAGCAATGGTGCAACCAGCTATCTCATTTGGGAAAACATACAACTTGCTGAACATTTTCTCATCGATAGACGCTACAATTTGCAGATGCTCTCTTAACGCCCCTCATTGCAGGCTGTGGTTGACGCTGCTTAGTGGCTGCGGTGTGCAACCAAAAATAACTTTTAAAATAACAATCTAGGGCGTTCTAATGTCACATTTGTCCAAAATGAGACCAAGGGATTTTTTTCTACATGTGGTCTCTTCTATGAGCAGAAAAACAGCTTGTAAATAAGTGTAAATACCACAGTGCACCAAAGTTATAAAAGTACTACTTTCCACCACTGTGGTTAAAAGAGCAACTGCCTGTGCCGGTTACAGCGACACTAATACAGCTTAACAGTCGTCATGGCTCCTCCCAGTGAGGATGTGAGAGAGAGATGTGAAGACAGAGGACCCCAAGCTGCCAAATGAGAAATACTTTCTTCCGTAGTGTCAGTCCTAAACAATGCCACTTACTTCTGACATGCTGCACAGCTGTATTACCTGTTAAGCCAGGGTCTAGACATCGAGATGGTGGAGACCTACAGATACCTGGGTGTTCACCTCAACAACAAACTGGACTGGTCACACAACACAGAGGTCCTGTACCAAAGGCCAAAGTCGTCTCCACCTGCTGAGGAGACTGAGATCCTTTGGAGTGTGCAGGACCCTGCTCAGGACATTCTATGACACTGTGGTGGCATCTGCTCTTTTCTATGCTGTGGTCTGCTGGGGAACAGGGAGCACAGACCGGGACAGAAAAAGGCTAAATAGACTGGTGAGGAGGGCCGGTTCTGTACTGGACTGCTCCCTAGACTCCATAGAGGAGGTGGGTGAGAGGAGGATGTTAGTAAAGCTCACATCCATCATGGACAACCCCTCTCACCAGCTGCATGACACTGTGGGGGCTTTAAGTAGCTCCTTCAGCAGCACACTCAAACATCCTCTCTGCAAGAAAGAGCGCTACTGCAGGTCATTCCTACCAACTGCTATAAGACTGTACAACATCAGCATCACTACCTGATGTTGACCAAATTGAAAAAAATGGCATTTCATGTATTGAATTCACTTTTGCACTGCAAATTTGCGCAATCTATTTTTCTTTTCAATGTAAATACTACTATTATTAATTATTGTTATTTTTGAATGCTGCTGTGGCGTGTAAATTTCCCCCAATGGGAGATAAATAAATTACTCTATTCTAAATTAAAGATGCTGCATTTATATGTAATGTCACTTGATAAAAGACATCCACATAGTATAAAGCTGGGCTTCTTAGCTCTTAGCTTCTGCAAAACCCTCCCCTCTCCTCACTCCTCTTCTCATCGAGGTGCATTTTTGTAACGGAAAGGTCCTCCATAATGCCAGAGGGCAGATTTTCCGGTTTACAAGAGGAAAAGAGGATGCAGGGAAGCACAAGTTAGCATAATAAAAAACATCCCCTGACTTGTTTCCTTTAGGGTTGATCACACCTAATCTTCAGTCTCCTTCTTGTTTTCTACAGCCAGGGAGACGGTCTGACGTTCCCCACTCGACTGGTCAACGTTGATGTGGAACAGGCCACAGTGACTCTGCATCCGGAGCCAAATAAAAGGTGACAACTCTTGGTTTAACGAAAGGCATAGGCAAAATCTTCACATTCACAGGACACATTCTTGCTAAATGTGTGAGGGCTTAGGGCTGTCCCTCTGTCAAATTGTCAAGTGCATGAGGACTTTTCTGGTTTTATGCATCCTTTCCCAGAGCCATTTTCCTGAGGGACTTGCGAATGGTACATAGCGATGTTGTTGACATGTAAACATGGCTGCCCTTTGCCCCACAAGATGTACACAAACAAAGCATTGATGGTGCAGGAAGTTTATCTGCAAGTGACAGCATCTTGATGCTCAGTGTTGTGGTTATTTATTGCATGTTTGTAGATTTGTTTACATTTTCAGGCATATGTTCACATAAGATTTAGGCTCCATATGTTCATGAAATTCAGTAGTTTGCTAGAATGTATAAACACTGCCATGTGCGTCTTAACCGAGCAGCTAGTCATAATGCAAATCCAAATTCACATTATTGCTTTTTTTTAAATGTCAATGCAGTGTGCTGTCACAATATTGTGTCCTTTTCCTCCTTTTTATACCATTTCAAGCCCTTACAATCTCACTCAATCACTACAGCTGTGACGCGAGTTAAATCTGTGAGGTTTTAGCGCTCAGGCTTTAGGATGGAGATTGGGATTGGGTCATTGCACTTGACGCGAGGCTCTGAAAGCAGATTTTCCGCTCGCAAAATGGCACTAACGTCAGCTCGTTCCGCAGTTCCGCCGACGTCCCTGTGAGCCCGCTCAGCGAGTCCCAGAATCGCCTCCTGAGCAACGAGCAGCACGCCAACAACACTGGAGACCATCTGGCTAATAACACCCTCAAATCAGGTGAGCCCCAGCAGCGGTGGTAATGTTTCACTGAGAGTATTACCATGTAACAACTCACCTTTCGAAACGTTGTGTGTTTTCACAGCTGAAAGTGAAACCATTACAATCTCCGTGGAGAGCGAATCCTAACCAGGTAATCAAAATCAGTCACTTCTCACTCAGCCTGTAGGTTTGGGTACAGCTCTGACTTAATGTTCCATACAACAATCACATTTTTGTGTGTAGATTTATCACATGGAAGCACTTCATTGTTCAGTTATGCAAGTTTCAAATGTAATCAACAGCAATTTTCTCAATTGTCCTCGTTTTGTTTCTTCCCTGCCACAGGAGAAACACCTCAGTCATCTAATACGATGCCTTAAGCAACACAACCGTTTAGTTCATCACCATGGCAACAGTCCCCCAGTGGAACCGCATCCCCACAGACCCATTCAGAGTAACTATGGAAATGCAGTCAATTTGCCCGTCACAGCACAGCAATGCATTTATAGTGTTGGCATTTTTGCATGCAGTGTCATAAGCACATCTCACACCTACTCCCAGAGGACATGTGATACAAGCTTGTTCCCAGTCACACCAACGCATATACACACGCTAACATTCAGCTATATACCTATTTCTTTGTGCTGTTTTTTTTTTCTCACGAATGGAGCATTAATTGTTGAAGGAAATCTAAGAGTCCTGGAGGAAATCGGAGCTACTTTTGGTGTTTAATGAGACAACTTTCTGTGCCAAAAGCTTCCCGGGTGAAACCAAGACTTCATTTATAGGCACAAAGCTGCAGTAAAGAGTGGGGGGGACAAGCTGGAGCGGAGCAGCACGTTTTGTTTTTGAACATTTCCTCTCTCGCGTTTTTCCGAAAGGCAGTACACGCTGTGGAGACGGACGAATCAGTTTACCTGTGTGACCGTTTTTTGTGTCTTATTTTTAAACTAATAACGTTGGAACGCATTTATGGTCCGCACCTTTTGAGATGGATGTTTCCCACCAAAAAAAAAAACAAAAACCTGGACTATCTTACAGAGGACTCTACTGCATGGTTCAGTGGACTGCGCCAGTGCACAACAGGACAGACTGTAGCTGGGTTTTGAGTGGCATTTTGGATTCCAGAGCACAAGATGGCGCATTTGCACTTTGTAGATTATCAATGTCCATCAAAAAAACGTGCTGCTTGTTTTTTTTAATCATGTCCAAAAAAAAAAGCATCCCAGGTATGACGGATGTTGGATGATCATGTGATTTATGGTATATTGTATGCGTGTGTGTGTGAGAGAGAGAATGTGTGTAACAGTTAAAGTGGCAGTCATATTTTTCCTTTTTAACAACTAACAGAGACTAAAAGAATCTGCTTTATGTGTTTTTTTGTGGCCAATTTGTGTTAAAACCTGTTGTTTATCAATGGACAGTTCAACCTGGGAGATGTATTTCATGCAATGCGCAGCGTCCTTCCCGACCTGATCTTTTCAAGTCTGATCAGCGATTCCTAGCCCGCAGTGTCTACAGCTTGTTTTTCTACAGCTCAGTGCTTCAACCTTTACTAAGATACCAACACTCATTGCCAAATAAGGGCTGGCCTGTCAGGAGCTCTGACCTCTGAACCTGAAGTGTTTACAGCATCTTAGCTTTATCTTAACCTCACTGGCCAATGTTCATCATAACCAAATTGTATTTACCAGTAGCTGTGGCGCAGTACTACACATTTATCTGTCCCTCCTACCTGTTGTGGGTCATGATGTCCTTGCAATGCCAGTGCTCGCCAGCAGGTGGTGCAAAAGCTCCTGTTATCTGCCCTCCTTCATCTGGAGCGTTTTTCTGTACATCATCCAACTCAGGGCTCAATTCGCTTTCAGTCTAATTTGCAGGTGTGAATTTATTCACAATAAGATATTTTCTTAATATCCAATTATTATGCATCGTTCCCCTGTAGTAACTCATCCAGATTTAACCTGAAAGTGAATTGAACCCGTCTGATCAACTGTAAAATAGAGGCGTCGGCTACAGCTTCTGCTCACTTTGTCACCGTAGGCATGTGTACAATTTCAAATCAGCTCAGTGTTGTGACCTTGAACTGTTAAAGAGCCTTAGTTTGTATAAAAAGTTAACAGTGAATTGTCTCGTGTCAGTGTTGAGCATCTGATATGTGACCCGCAGGCTCTGACAAAAAAAATCTGTAAAGGAACAGAAATAATTAGACTGTGTTACCACATTAAAAAAAAAAAACAGTTGTTCAGGAATGAGTTCCATCCTATTCCAAGGTTTGTTGTTGTTTTAGTGCAACTTTGAATTCACGTCGGAGGGCGACAGCAAATTTCCTGATGTCCGTCATTACTCGCATCTCTGATCACATCCCTGACTGTTGCTGGACGAACCTCCTACTAACTAGATCCCACCAGACTCTGGTGATGTACAAGTTTACAGCTGTTTCTATGGTGTAGTGTGAGGTAGCGGTGTTGTGAGATGTGGATGTTTCTCGGTAACAGTGTCACAGTTGAGTGAGCCACAGACGGGCCAGTGAAGGCATCTGATTGAATAACGGCGCGATAAAAACAGCCTGCTCTTCAGACTTTATGTTTACGTTCTTATCCTTCCAATCATGTTTGAGTATATTTCTAAGTACTCTTGACAAACGAGCAATTGGGGGATATTTGTAATCGTATAATCACACTGTGGTTGGATCTCAAAGTAGCAGATGACTGTTGGAGATCATGATCCAAGCCAAGGTTAGGTTCTGATCACACGCAGATCTTTTCTAAACTTCACACTTGTAGTTAAAGAAAAAAAACAAAGCAGTTATATTGTGTACGTTGAATTCGGAGCCTGGCTCGTTCCACTCGTCACCTACAGCCACTGATTCTGAAACATTGGACCTGTCGTCTTGTTGTTTTACACATTGCCTATATTCTTTCTCTGGGCTGTTTGGCCTTGAGACTAAAGTGCGCGCGTGTATTTTGTAAACGCTTCAGTGAGTGTTCTTTTGTAATATTGTTGTCTTGGGAGAAGTGCTTCTGTGCAGCCATGAGATTTTTACACGTCTGTGAACATACATAACTGTCTGACTAATGCTCAAAAAGCATGGCGCCTAACTTCTGTATAAAAATAAAAAGAAAAAATTTTAAAAAAACAAAAGAAAAAAAGAGGAAAAAAGTGTTTTACCATTAAAAATGGGGGTTGTGGTGTTATAACAAAAATTGGGTTTTTTTCAACTATAGCTAGGTGTGTCATGTTTTTAATTAGCTTTACTCTGGTCTGTCTCAACTTTATAAACGAAGCCATAAAAACTCCTGTGAAAACTGAAAAAGAATCTGAGAACTTCAGTCTAACTTCAGTTATTTTTTTAGACTGAAAACACGTCTCATCTGCATTCACAGCGCAGATGTGGCCGATCATAACTTGCTTATTGCTACACTTTGGTTTTCTTTTTTGTTACGATGTCCTATTTTACAATGTGTCTATATATATATTGATAATGTAAGAAGAAGACAACATATATATTTTTCTTGTCTGATTAATTTTACTGTTCCTATTTTGTGAATGAAGTACATGCCTCTACACAATTAACGTGAAAATAACAATAAATGTTTTTTTTAAACCTCCAGTCTAATTTGATTCTCACATTAATTCAATTTATTCATTCATTTAATTCCTAACTCTCGCACAATGCTCACAAAGTGTTTGAGCGTGTATGGAAACAAATAAGGGTCAGAAGCATTGTAGCTGTGTATCACAATACATGAATGTGTGAAAACCTTTTGTTTTGTATGAAAATATTAAAACATGTACAAACATTCCGTACAAGCACTTAATTTTTGAACAGATTCTGTAGCCATGCAGTGACATTTTGTGGACAAATGAGAAAGATCTGCAAATAATAACCAACGTGTGTGTTCATAAAGATGCCTTGCACAAAGGTTTGTGGTTATACATCTGCAATTTCTGCTGCTGAAGGAACGGTAAGTCGACATTTACAGAATAAATCTACAGGTATAAATAGTTTTGGCCCACATTTAACACATTTTTAGTAGGTCGATGTAATGTCAAGCAGGGTTCCATACGGTTAAGATTACTCGATATTCTTCTCTGTAAATTTCTTAAACTCATGTTCTCACCCCACAGCCTCTTTTTGTTTCATTTTCAAACTCAGTCCTCAACGCAACAACAACCAAAGCTGCCAACAGCATTATTACTTACAGGAATGTATCAGATGTTGTGCATTTCCCTCTGGAGGCACAGAAAATGTTGCACAACTTTTTTCACTTAAGAAGCAGCCTGGTTCTAAGAACTGCGACCAGACTTCAATATCATTATAGATTCCTCTTTAATCGTTTAAGACTATATCATGTAGGTGTGTTTTTGTGTCGGTGTGGGTTTAATCTTAAAATAAAAGGGCTGCATAATAAAACTAAAAGCAGTAGTTGTCTGGTACAGGAGAATACAAAGAGTTTGTACTTTGCTCAGAGTCAGTTTGTGTGTGGAAGCTACTCAGGTTGGTTTCAAGAAGTCTGAAGTATGCACGATGTGACTTCCAGCATGAGATACGATTATTATGTTACCACTATTCAGGAAATGAAATGTGTTTACCAGGATGTTCCCAAGTGCACTGTCGCAAACATAATGTGCAACTACTAAATAACTAAATTGTGGATGTGAAGCTTCAGGCAGAAAATGTATGTAGCATCTTCAAATCGTTTTCTCACACTAGTTTTGATAACTCTGCAGTGACAGATATTGGAGAAACTGGATGCTCCGTGTGCGCTTGCAAATGGTTTTTGTGAAACAAGCCTCAGTATCACTATAAATGCATTAAATTCCTGCAATGAGGATGCAGTAACGGCTTACAGACTGAATGGGTTTCTGTGTTTAGCCTTGTGCTGTCAGAACAGCAAACACTGCACTGGTTCCTGCTCAGTGTAAATACTCTCTGTGGATTCAGGAACCCAGTTGAACATTGACCTTTGCTATCTGCCTGACACCAAGGCCCTTGACTTCTTCTGCAGAGAGCCAATCCTCTCCAGTCCCTCATGATTCATTCGAGTTTTCTCTACAAAATTACCTGATACGCCTGTTTGCAATCAAAGTGTAGACAAATGGGGACCTTGCAGTTTAAATCACATCTGTTCTGCAGATCTTTTAGGCGTACTGGCTGAGGTGACAGCAGACTGAGTGGCATACAGTATGTGATTGGAAACACCCACTGGCAGCAGAACTGTAGAATGACGTACAATGTGAAGAAAACATACCAGAGTTTTCTTACAACACAGGAAGAAGAACTCCCACATATGAAAATCCATTTTAATTGCTGTATGTCTTTAATGTTTAAAGATATGGGTGAATGACTACACAGTCGTCCTCAAATGTATTCATACCCTTCCATTAAAGAAAAGGCAAAATTCACAATAGTAACTCAAATAACTAGAAACTGAAAAGGTAGTAATTAATAAAAAATTGCTAAATTAGAATTTAGTGAAATAAGATATTTCATTTGAATTGTGGTTGAAAATAATAATTTTAAAAAAATAACAGTCCCGGTTAAAATTAGAGCAATTTGCTGATGAGCAGTGGGCCAAAATCAAAATACCTGGTAACACAGGTGCAGAAGTCTGATTGAGAGTTACAGAAAACACTTGATTGCAGTGATTGATTCAAAGGGTTGTTCAACAAAATGTTAGTTTACGGGTCCCATCATACTTGTTTGCTTGTGTGTGTGTTTTGTTTTGTTTTATTTTCGGGCTTGTGTTTTTGAAATATTTCTGTTGAACCACAATTCAAAAGCAATGTCATGATTTTCATTAAATTCTTAGTTATTATTACTTTTGTCAATTTCAACTTATTTCAGTGAAAGCTGTTTTTTTTCCTTCTTTAATGGGAGGGTACATTTGAGGACGACTGTACCTGTTTTGCGTGTGTGTGTGTTTGTGTGCGTTCCCATGGTTATTTAAACTGTAATCAACCAAGGTAATGACCTTGAGGTCAGTTTTTCAGAAGTAGTGTACAGTGATTTATTAAAATAAACTGTCTGACCTCCTGCAAAGCCAAACAAGGTACAGTTTCACTAAAGACCATCTGATGGTTCATCCATTAAAGAACAAGCTATTAAATAGTGATACTGGATAGTGACATCAGGTTCTGCAAACACAGGCGACAGCACGTCTTTGCAGGAAATCCAAAGGAATCAGATTTGGCTCCTGCCACAGAGGTTGCTTCCAAATGAACTTGCACCTGAATATCTGGCGTCCAGATGTGAATCAGGAATTACACACATCCTATAGCGTGCTCCTACTTTCTTTGTGTTCTGAGTTGTTCCCTTAATCACTGTACGTTGAGGACATGTCTCAAAGTGTAATTGTCACCACGGTCTGTTACAAGAGATTTGTTCCAAGGTACAAATTAAAAATGGCTAAAGATTGTTCTGTAAACTCTTGGAAACTCAGGCCAGTCAGAACAAATCTGATGAGTGTGCTGTCAGTGAAATGTACCAACGTAAGCTAAGGTGTGCCTTGACGTAACCAGAATTGACTGGTTGCTCAGACTTGATCAAAATGATTCAATTGTCCTATGAAGCCAGACAGGGATGGGTCACGCTGTGTGCTGTCGAACTGGGGAACATATAGAGTAAAGCGTATGAAAATGACTGATACAATCTGTGCACATCTCATCCTTCCTGTACACAGTGCTCTGTGGAAGATGTGTTTCAGTTTACAGGATCTGATGCGGGCATGTATCACTGTTTTTGTGCCCCTCAGCCATCGCGATTAATCATCCTTCAGATGGGCCTGTACATGCAGCCCAAGGACAGAGAGATTTCATCTCTGAGCAAAGGAAAACTAATACCTTTAAGTTATTTTAACCTCTCTGAGCCAAGGTTTGCCTGAACAAACAGGCAGATTTGACAAACAATGCAAGCTGTATGTGAAAGACGTGGGTGTAAGAGAGATGATCAGACACAAGAAACACTGGATATGTTTTTGTGAGACCAACTAGGATGCATAAAGTAGTTGGTGAGATCTTTGCTGGTAAAAATGCAACTGTTGAACTGTATTTTTGCATCAGTGCTATACAGTAGTTTACTGGCTTTACTTCTGTTGGGTGTTTTTATTTGTTTTTTTCCTGCATCACCACCGAGGCCTCTGAGTGTTGTGGAAAATTATTCAAAAGAAGCCAAGGGCACAAAAAGATTTGCAGCAAATGCCTCACATGACGATACCTCTGTGCATGTTGCTATGGTAACTGGGGGGGCATGTGATGTGAGTTGTCCACACACACAAATGCTGTTATAGACTGCTCCTCCTCCATCCTGAACTTTATTGCCCATGTTGCTGGAGTTTCCAGTAACTTGTAAAGACATTCCCAGTTAATCAGGGATCCCCATCTGAGAGGAGAATGCTTTGTCTGGAGCAAAATGACTAATACCTTTCTGCTGAATTCTTATCAGAGTTTAGATTTCCAGAAGACCATTTGCTTTTAAAGATGCCAAAAATAGTCACGGTAGGAAAAAGAGAAAAGATGCCGAAGTGGAATGGGGTAAACAACTTTGATGGATATTCATTTTCTAAGTGCCATGGTTTGGTTTGGCTGAGTCAAGCTTTACAAGTGGTACTAATTGTCATAAACTACCACACATGCCCCAGAAAGCCACACCACAGACCGCAGATTACCATAATACCCCACAGCAGGGTGAAAAATCTGCCCAAATCTGATTCAACAAGTCAAAGTTGGCACAATAATAACTTTTTTTTTTTCCTCACAGAAATGTCATTGTTGCGTTTGGAAATCGTCCATCACCTCATTGTTGCGTAAAAATGTGGGCAAGCTATTAAACTCTGACTCAGAGTTTGCAAAAGCAGTGCCACGCTATATGTACTTTCCTCTGAAACATGCCATGACTTCTGAGATATCGCATTTTCACGTCGGTTCGTCAGAACGCATTGGTTGCAGACGACCCACCGTCCCATGACAGCGGGAGGGAGGCGGGTCCAGTGATTGCAGCAAGTGTTTTGGGGTGTCTGGGAAGCACATATCCATTTGTGGAAAAGTCTGAGGACGCTTTTGGGATCTTTGGAAAGGAGAAACCGCGCAACTCCCGACTTTTACGCACCGTGCGCAACGTGGATGTAAGCACACAGGCTGAGACCCAACTGGAAGTCGCATTTGTTGAAACTCCACCGACTGCAGACAACATGAGTAATGGATCCAACCGAACTATTCCTCCGGGCTGCACGGGCCAGCCTCCTTTGGCCATGGACATCATTGTCAGTGAGTAGTTTTAGCACCGCAGATCAGAGTATTTCACAGCCTCAGAACCGGGTCCAAGTTCTGTCCTCAGGAGCAGCACCTGATGAGCTTCTGTGTAGAAACACTCTGCGCAGCAGCAAGCTCTCATCCGCAGGAATTTTAATTAGTTTGGTGGGATTTCTGAACTGTAGAGCCATGGTAACGGTGGGGGGAAGAGAAACTAAACTGGTGGTTCTGATTAATTAACAAATGATGGAAGTTACTGGACCCCAGGTTGGTGACTGTAGGATGTGCTCTGCTCTTTACATTATGCAGAAGTCTCCTTGTTTCTTTTTGGGGCTGTGATCAAGTGCTTATAGATTTGTTTTTTTTTTTATTTACTTTTTTGTCAGAAGCAGGCAGACAGGCAAACCTTCTATTAAATGAAGTAAGAAGAAATTAAAACCTTTTCTTGTTTTGCTGAGGAAGCCTCTGTACAAGCTCTGGCAGATCCACTGACTCCAGTTTTAAAGTTCAGACATGAGCAGTAAATATTAGGCAAGAGCTCAGGTTTGAGCTCAGGACTAAGTTATGGTTTTTAACAAGTGATCAAGTTAATCCATTAATCCTTTCCATTAGAGTGGCGTTATTATTATAAGTTCTCTATTTAGGGCTCGGACTGCTGGGATTATCCTTTTCACGTTGCTTTTTATTTCTCATAACACTCCTCGGAGGTTTTGCAGCCTGACATCTGAGGAGGAAATCCACTTATGTAGAAATAAGCTTTATTTTTTTTAAACTACAAAATGTAGTAAATCACTGGCTTTATCACAATAAATGTGCTTCTGTGAAAGTACAGTAGTTCTTTTCATACCGGGGCGACTGCATCCTCTTTAACAGTATCAGGAGGCATGATACAAAAAAAAATGCTATTCTTGAGCGTTTGGTTTCTCTGCTTTACCAGTTGACTTTTGTACGTTTTTATTTTTTTATTTTAGCCAAAATTGAACTTCTTTCTGATAGAAGCTACTAAATGAAGCTGAAAAAGCAAATGCGCATGTATACTCATCAAAGCACTAAAGATAATTTGTTCCAAGAGAAGTTAGTTTTTCTAGATGTTAGTTTCATGAGCACACATGTTTAGAACTAGACTAAGAAATCGAAGATATATCACCTGTTATGAGCTTGTAGTAAATTTATCATTATGGGCAATATGTGGGTCAGCAAATAAAAAAATAATTTCATGTAACTGGAGGAATATTGTCGCTGTCAGTTTTGCCAAAAAAGAGCTTTGACAAGTTCATTTTTGTTCTTTTAATTGCCCTAGTGAGTACATACTGTGTTCAAGTCAACAAATTTGAAAAAAAAAAAAAAGTGGGGGTCTTTGCTTTAATGATTTTTTGTTTTTTACAAATGTCCAATATTAGCATTGGCATCAACTTCAAAACTCCAGGATAGGCTGGTCGATAGTAGGTCAAACTTTAAACATCTAGATCAGTTTTGTCTCCACTTCGTTGTGTAGAGATGATTTGTGGCCACATTAAACATCAGGTGGACTGGAACTAACAGAACCCAGAGGGATGGAAACATTCTAAAGCACTGTTAGGAATGACTGTGCCAATTATCAATGGGACTTTTAGTTCTCCGACCTGACTACCTGTGTAGAGAGATAGTCTGTGTGTGTTGTTGTGTACTGATCACCACTAATATCTTTTGGTACCAGAGAATAAATGACATCGATTGGAAGAATATCCACAGCTGGGCAACATACTGGAACCATTTACTTACCCTTTCCTCCCATTTTTTTATTTCCTTGAGAGCGAGTTTTGTCATCCTGTCGCAATTTTTCTTTCTCTGAAACATCTGCTGGAAAAATTCACTTGCAACCACACATGTCCGCTGATGTCAACGTCTGAAGTTGTTTCCGGAAATTACACTCCGCCAGATACTTTCTTGCACCTTCTCACACGACACTGATAACTTACAGAATTTCCTCTTACAGAGTCATGAACCACGTTTTGAGAAACGCCACTGATGCCATCTGTTTTGCGCAACTTGTCGCTTTTTTTCAACTTTTACGGTTACTTCTGTTTGTTCTCAAGGATGGCTTGGAAATAAACTTGTATTGTCTTGACGAAAAAGCTGCTAAATATCTTGACATAGTCTAAAACGATCAGATGGCCAAGAAAGTTACAGAATCTAGTTCTGTTTCAGTTTGTCGTCCTGCTAAATGCTATGGCAACGGTCTGCTTTTGGTTTCCTGTGTTGTTGTTGTTTTCGTTTATTTCACATTCTTTAACATTGGCTATAAATCCCTGCTGAATCTTTTTTTATCAACACAATAAAGGGCGGCAGACAGTATTTTTCAGTTTTGAAAAGACATTCAGGCGTGGTGCTCTGATGTTGGTTACGCTCTGATTTTATGTCTAGAAACCCCAGCAGGCTATAATTTTTGGCTTTTTAAGGAATTAACTTTATAATTATTGGACTGATTGTCATGAAATCTGACTTTTGATGATCCTCTGACTCATCTTCTGGTGCCAACACAAGATTTACTACTGAGTGTTTTCGTAAAATGTATTCAGCAACTGTTAGATTGATTTCCATTAGAACTCAACTGATACAGAGTTTTTGTATGTATTTTGTATGTATTTAGCGTTATTTTGAAAAAGGAAATGATGGGGTTACTGTTTACTAATTTTCTAGGTATGTATTTGACAAACTAGACACCAGTCTACCATGAAGACACCACTTGACTCCGCACCATCACCTGCTCAGCTGCAATGTGCTCTCTGCTACATGTGCTGCAGACAGTGCAGGGAGTATTGTAAATAATGGAGTTGGTGCATGTCTGCCTAGACAAACTATGTGATGACACCATTTTCAAATTGCCCCAAACATTATGCTTTGTAAAACAAAAATTTTCACATAGGTGCATATCAACATATATGCAACATACATATCAATATATCAATGATTGCCCAATTGGCTGACCGATAGATCAGTTTGGCTCTAATTTCTTGACATTTGGCACCAACATTCATGGTCTGCAGAGGACAAACCCTAATTGGTGATCCTGTATACAGAAGCTTACACTACAGTTGTACTTTTCAATGAAAAATTCTCAAAAACCACTGATGGATTCTACAGTTTTTAAGCACTTCAGTGATCTTTTCTTGTCCAGTAGCTATTTTTGATTTGTTTGGCGTTCTCTACAACTTCAGCTGTTCTTTGTGTTTAGTCCAAATTAGCACATTAAATTAAGATGTTAAACATACCAAGAAGCATACCTGCTACACTTTAACTCATAAGGATTGTTATTTTTTTGGTTTTGGCATTTACCCCAAAGCCCCACTGTGTCTAAGTTTAGCCTCCCAGAGCCATTAGCATGGCTTTAGGCTCTAACTCTTGTTAAAACATGTTAGACTGATTATTTTCTGGCAGTGATTTCCTCAGCCTGCCTGAGTAAACAGTGGCAACATAAATACCAATTAACTTCACAAAAGCAACATCAAAAAGAGTGAGTTTCACTTTCTGGAGAACAAATTTGAGTCCCACCTGAATTTTCAACACAGCTCATTTGTTGTCATTTCCCCTCTCTTCTTCCAGAATTGGACATCTTTGGCATCATCCTGTACTCCGTCCTCACTTTCATGGCAGTGGTATCCGTGCTGGTGTTCATAGAGGAATGTGTCTACATCTATAAGAAAGTGCCCGCCACAAAGAAGAGTATAATCATCTGGGTGAATGGTGCAGCACCGGTAGGAATAATATACCGAAAACATACAGATGACATGATGTTTTTCCACAGATTCCAGGATAAAATGCACATATTTTAGCCCAATACTACAGCTTCACATTGCTCTCTCTTTGGCCTCTCGTTTTCAGATGATTGGCTCCATGTCGTGTCTGGGGATGTGGATCCCCAGAGCCACCATGTTTACTGATATGTTCTCTGCCTGGTGGGTCTTTTTTTATTTCTCTTTTTCTCACCTTCTGTCTTTCACTGTGCTGTGTGTGTTTTTTCATCCACAAAACCTGCAGAGAAAGATCACAAGGAAACTTGAACTTCGTAACCTGCAGAGAGTTTTATAGAAAACAGCGGTACTCTTGTGTAATCTGGGTGGTTTCATTTTTCTTTACTTTTCTACTGGTCCTGCCTGTCATTTCTTATTTCCATTTACCCGTTGTCTGCTCCCCCTTATCTCCCCGCAGCTACTTTGCCATCGTGGTGTTTAAGTTCCTGATCCTGATGGTGGAGGAGGTGGGTGGCGACCAGGCGTTCCTGAGGCGGGGACAGAAGCATAAGCTGAGGATCAGCACGGGGCCTTGTTGCTGCTGCTGCCCCTGCCTGCCCCACGTGGCCATCACACGGTAAATCCTCCTGTGATATCATGCAGCCTGCGGTTCTGATAATCAATGGCGTTTCTGATGCTGCCGATTTGGAACAACGTACTGGCTGTGAAGAATTTCTGAGGAACACTTAAGAGGAGCGCATGTTAAGTTTGATCGCTGCAGTGAGTGCAGTTGGACAGCCTCCAGCTTGAAGATTCAGATCTTTGCCCCCATCATTCTTTGACAGAACAGTGGGGTTTTTGTTAGATTTAAAGGAAATCTGTTTTTTTTCTCAGCAGGGGCCCTCATGGTAATAAAAACCAGAGGGTAGCTGTTTTGACTGAAATCGAATGATTATCAAGCTGCATTTAAGAAGAGACTTAAAACGGTGTTCGTACAGAACTTATTCATTAGCTGTCTGTGTTTAAAAAAGCTGCCGTGAAGACTGGTAATTTTCCAAGGAAATCTTAAACTGATGCTTTAAAATTGCTTTTCTGGGATGGTGACTCACACATTCTGCAATACTAATGAGACACAGATACTGTGCAGCTTCTACGATTGTTACAACTGCGTCGGCTGGCTTTGATGTAGTATTTGGCCTGTTTGAAAATTATGTAAACTCGGAGAGCCTCTGTGCATACAATAGTGAACTCAGACCAGAGGTGCGCTTCTGTTCTCCGAACACAGGTTGAACACACTCCTGGTCATCAGCCCTGTCAGGGCAGGGCAAACACAGGGGCATCATGCACCTTTCTGGCTGCGTAAAGACTGGCTGCACTTTTACTATCTGTCACCATTAACTGATAAGATCCATGCAGTTTAAATATAGTCAGCTGCCATGCACTTCTTTTTCATCACACACTGTCTGTTGTTGTCTATATTGATCTGTATAATCTACTGTCTGGTTAAGAAACAGTACGTGCAGCTTTGCATGCTGGTGTCAAGCACTGCCAAGCAGATTTGTATACACTGTATCCTTCAGTGCAAATACACAATAAATCCTTTTAAAACGTTTAGTTCTGCACACAATGATGATGACGGCAATCAAGCTAAGACATGCTACTTATGGCATGCTCTGGTTATGAGAACTCATGAAGCTCCTCAGAAGCACTTTCAATGTTGCTGAGGTTGCACAACAGTGTTCAAATCTTAACATGCCAAAAGCCAATCAAAATGTGCCCAAGGCTGCTCCCAATGCTTCAAAACATTCTGCGATAATTTATCCCGGATAGACTCAGGGCAGCGGGGAATCGTACAATGAACTCGTAATTGTTTTTAAATGTGTTTAGAGATTAAACATTTTGTACCATCAGCAGCTACCATGAAATAGTTTCCTCTATTTCATCTCCAGACGCTCTCTCTTCCTGCTCAAACTTGGCTCCTTCCAATTTGCTCTCCTGAAGATCCTCTTCACCATCCTTTCCATTGTCCTCTACACCAACGGGACCTTTGACCTGAGTGATGTGAGTTGGAAAAATGAGCATGCGGAATGAAACGTCTGCATGCGCAATATTTGTATCCCTAATTTATGTTTGTACAGTTGATTTGTCCAACCTTTTATAGTTAAACAATGGGGGATAAAAATATTTTAGATTTGCTCATTTAAAGGTGAACATTTACTTGTCCCTTTGGATGTTTTTTAGAAAACAACAGCTGTAATATTGCTGAAATATGTCCTGAATAAATGTGTGACTAATACATAATGCATGAATTATCATGAACTCCTGTTGTTCACTGTTAAGAAATGAAAGGATTGCTTGTTAATGCTGCCTCTGCTGTTATTTTTTTATTGTGTTTAGTATCAGATGTTAGCATAGCATGACAACACTAACACTAAACAATATAGGGAGGTAAACATGGTCAACATTGTGCTGTAATTGTGAGCATACTAGCATGCTTGGCTCATTGTTGCAGTAACAGCTGGTGTACGTAACTTGCTATGCTCATTTAACAAAACAAAAAACTATAGCTATTGTGAGGTTTCATTCAACTACTTTTCAGTTCCTGTTGTTCTGTTGCCAGATTTCCTTACTCTTCTGTGTGTGCGATTGTGTTTCAGTTGAGCATTACTGGAGCTGCAATATGGATCAACCCATTTGTGGGTATCTTGACGATCATAGCTCTGTGGCCTGTAGCGATCACATTCATGCACTTACGGACGACCCTGCGTTCACTCAAGATCATCCCCAAGTACGCCATGTACCAGGTAAGACACTGAAGAACTATGCACACAGACAGTTGTTTACCTCCTCAGATAAACATTAAATGGGGTCACTGATCTGTGCACTTATGAGCCACAACATTAAAACCTCCTCCCTAATATTGTATTGAAGTCACCATAGCAGCTCTGACCCATCAGGGCATGGACATAGAACCACTGGAGATGTCAGTGGATCCTTTGGGTCCTTTGGGTTGCAGGGTTGGGCGTCTATGACTTAGGCCTGTTGGAGGACTTTCCACAGATGGATTGGGAGCTTGGCAGCCTGGAGTCTGTGTTAATGCCTCGAACTCTTTGTCATGTTCCTTGAGCCGTTTCAGAGCAGTTTTTGCTGTGGAGTTGGACAAGTTGTCCTGCTGGAGAAGGCTGCTGCCACTAGTTGTCACCCTTGCCATATAGGAGGGTGATTGGTCTGGAGAAATGCTTAGGTGGGTGGTATGTCTCAGAGTCACATCCACATGAATGCCAGGACCCAAGGTCAACCAGCAGACCATTGTAACATGATGATCAAGGTCATTCACTTCGCCTGTCAGTGATTTCAATGTTGTGGCTGATCGGTGTAGATGGCAGGCTGGACGTAAACATGTTTGACCAGTTTTGCACAATCTATTTCACTGTCTGGTTCTACACCAAAATGGAATAGGTTCTTCCTTTGCCCATCGTCCTCTTCTTCACCAAGTGTTCAGCCTTATACTGTTTCTATAATGTTGCTCACAGACAAACATGGCAGTGAAAACACACCTGCACCGAAGCTCTTGTCTTTGTGAACGAACACCATCTCAGATTACAGTGGCATCATAAGATTGCGCTCTGATTTTCCAGCTTTGCCAAGGTTAACAGTGTCTGTGTTTGTGTTGGTAGCTGGTGCTGATCCTGAGCCAGCTGCAAACTGCTATCATCAACATCTTGGCTTTGAATGGGACCATCGCTTGCACTCCTCCCTTTTCTGCTCCAGCCAGAGGATACAGTGAGTCAATGTCCATCTATGCAATCAGTCCATTCACCCCTGTGTTTATCTGTTCAATCAATCAGCAACGAGTCAACCCATTAATGCATTCATTTGTTCACCAGCAGTGACTCTTTGAAGTCTCCTGTGATTTTTATCTCCCGGTCCTTCCACTGCTGACCTTCCTTTTCGCTTCTGTTCTGCTTTCGACAGTGATGGGTCAGCAGCTGCTGATCCTGGAGATGTTCATCATCACATTAGTAACGCGGCTGCTGTATCGACGACAGTACGATCCTTTACCCAGAGAAGAAGAAGACGATGAAAGTGAAAACACCAAGATGGTTGCATTACCAGAGTCTGCATGAGAATTGATTATGTGAATGTGTTTGCATGTTTGCATGTGTGTGTGTTTGTGTGTGTGTGTGTATGTAGGTGTGTGTGTGTGTGTGTGTCATTCTCTTTTTCCTGCAGGTATTTGATTAAGAGATTTTATAAATTAATATGAATAAATTTGAATATGAATTATATGTAGATTAGTCTTGTGGTTGTTCATTAAGGTTAACAGATTGCAAATCCACCAGAGCTGTTTGATTGACAGGACACTCAGGTCAAATACAGTCATGTGTAAAACGGAAATGTTTTTTGTCAACATATCTGAACAAGCAAACATTTGGTCCTCTTTGTAGGAGTGAGGTACCACCTTTCTCTGCAGTGCCTGCAGATGCCACAAGGGAACATAACTTAGTCAACAAAGATATCAATAGATTTAATTTTCTTCTGTGGAAAAAGGGAGTAAACTCGTGGCCTTGGGGCTTTTTTTTTTTTAATGACTAGGCCATTCTGTATCTCTTTCTTTCATCTTTTTTAGTCAACCCTTGGAGAATTTGTTTGTGTACTTTGAGTCATTATCTGTCATAAGGTCCACTTAGAGCTCAACATCAACTTTCAGACAGATGGCCTCACATTATCCTTAAACACTCTCTGATGTGATGCAGAAGTCATAGTTGAGCTCCAGACAATGCCTCACAGATGGTATGAGGTTCTTCTCCTGAACAGCAGTCTACAAACATGCCAACAGTTTGTGTAGCCAAAGAACTCTGTTTTGTATTTGTCTGTTTATCTGTCATTATTCCAAAAGGTCTATATGTTCAATGGCAAACTGTAGTTTTCCTCTGTCTTTCTTTCCTTCCTGGCATGGCTTCCATGCATGTGGCTTGAAACTGTAGACGCACTTTGATACCAACAGGTGCAGGAGCTGGGTTTGGGGTTCCCAGAGACTTTCTTTTTGCATCAAACGTTTTGTTTTTGCACTGAGTTTGCTGAGGTGGCCTGTCCTTGAAAAAACGATCAATGGTTGAAATCTACACCACTTGCAGATGATTTCCTCACAGTGGAATAATTTATTTCAGATCATTTTGAGATCTTTCAAATCCCTCAATCAAATCTTCCAAATTTCCAGAGTCAGACATCCACAATCATTTTTCTGAAGGCCTTTGAAAGCTTTTTAGATCTTAGTGTGATGACAGAGCACACTTTAACAGCAGGAGACCACATCCTAGATGTCAGTGGTTTAAATTAGACAGGGTCTACATGTCTACACCCCCTCCCGCTCACTATGTTCGACCAACAAATGCCGCCTGATGCAACCACCACAACAGGGCCCGAGGTCGATAGCTAGACTCTTCTCCTCTGTGGCTCCCCGGTGGTGGAACGAGTTACCAAACTCTGTTCAATCTGCTGATTCCCTCTCAGTCTTTAAGAAAAGACTAAAGACCCAGCTCTTCACGAAACACCTTTGCACTTGACAAACTGAAAACAAACAAACAAAAAAAAAAAGTAAAATTTCCTATTTCCTCCCACACAGCCTAGTATTGGCATGAACGCCTGAACACACTTAAATTTGTTCTATGGCACTGATCCAGATTGTTGTTCTCCTGACTAGATCCTTGCTTGCGTTGTATCTGCTCTCGGATGTACGTTGTTTTGGATAAAAGCATCTGCTAAATGAAATTGTAGAATTGTAGAATGTTACTCCTTAAGGAGGTTTTAATTATTGGGATCTAATCTACAACATCTGAAGCTAACAAAAGGAAATGGTGTTCCACTAATTTAGAAGAATTTTACCAAGCCTGGAAAAAAATAATAACATATTATCTATCAGTCTGTGTTCAGGCTGACAAAGAGTCACAGCTCTGTTGAGCTCTGCATTCCTTTAGGCCTCCATAATAAAGATTTCATGAACTACTTAAACAAAATAGGTCATGAACTGTTGGAGAAACAATTTGTCATAGCCTTTCCACAAGTGTCACAGATGCATCATCAAGCACAATAGCTGATTTATATTTAGAATACTTCTCTCTCATAAATCTCTCTGGGCTAATAATACTAGTCACTTCATCCAGACAATCAACATGTCTTTCACAATAGTATTGGGAAACACTGCATGAGCACATATTACTATGCAGATGACACTCAGCTATATTTATCTACGAAGCCAGAAAAACAATCAGTTAGTCAAACTTCAAGTATGTCTTACAGACATGAAGGATTACCTCTAAGGTTGTACTGCTAAATCCAAACAAAAGAGAAGCGACTGTATTTGACACCTCAGAAGCACACTGCGTAACCATATAGTTACTCTGATGGCATTGCATTGACCTCCAGCACTACTGTGAAGAGTCATAGTGTTATTTTCTCTAGAATTTGTTCTTTAAATCACATATAAAAATACTCTAGAATGGCCTTTAGCCTTCATAATACTGTCAAATTTAAAAATATCTTGTCATAAAATGATGCTGCAAAAGCCATCAGTGTTTTTGTTTCCTCTAGGTTGAACTGCTGTAACAGGTTATTGTCAGGGTGTCTTATTAACACTAACATAAATCAATCCAAAATGCAGCTAATACAGCAAATATGTAAAGACAGGAACCAAAAACAAATATCCTCCCATATTAGCTTCTCTCATTGGGTTTTTTTTCCTTACAAAGAACCTAATGACCAAGCTCCACCATATCTTTAAGACCTCATAGTCCCATGCTGTCTTGTTACAACAACAAACAAAACAGCCCTAACTGGAGATAAAGTTATCAGTAAATCTAAACTTGACAAAATTATTTTTTTTATGCTGACAGCTAAATTTCCTGCCAACAGAAGAAAAACAGGATAAAAACAGCAGTTTTCCAATGCAAGCATTTTCTGGAAAGCTATGGATAGGTCACGTAGTAAAACTTGAATTAACTAAGGGTTTACACACAAAACAAATTGTACCAGCTTAAAGTAACAGGAACCCTAAACACAATATGAACAAAACCTACATCCTAAGACCTAACAAAACCAACTCACAAAGCAAGCTGTGCTGGCAGACATGAATGGCCAAGAGTCCTGGTAGAGCAGTTCCTTAGTCTTTTTATAGCCTGATGGTGGGCATCAATTGCGTGTAGGAGCCCAGATGTCAGCCAATTACCAAGACAGGAGGGAGGGGAACTCCACGGGCAAAATCTAGGGCAGAGCACAACACACATTAATACATTTATACATTCTAATGTTATATCTCAGTAGAATACTTTGCTGTCAGTCTTCAGGCTTACTTGTGGATCCAAAGGCAGAACGGGAGGCAGAGCTTTTAGCTGTCAGGCTCGTCTCCTGTGGAATCCACTCGCCGTCTGGGTTCAGGAGGCAAACACTCTGTCTGCTTTTAAGATTTGGCCCAGAACCTTCCCATTTAGTGTAGCTCGGTTGGTTCGGTGACCCTGAACCATGCCTTTGTTATGCTGCTGTAGGCTCGGGATGCTGGGGTACTACCCACGATGGACTGGGTACCTCTCTTCTCCATGCATTTATATGCCACTCTTGCATGTCATTAACTTTGTGTCTTCTCTCTTGCATGGTTTGTGCTTTGTCCTCTCTGTCCTCTCACTCTCTGCAGGTATCTGTGGTTGCAGAGCTGCAGGTTTCTGACCTGCCGTTACTGGCCCAGTGCCTACTGTTCAAATGCTCATCTTTTTTTTTTTTTTTTAAATCTCCACTCTCCTTTCCAGAGTCTGGTTCTGGTTTCTTCCTGTTAAAAGGTTTTCCTCTATACTGCCACCAAGTGCTGTTCAAGGGGGGACTGCTGGGTCTTGCTGTATTATTCTGCACTTTTATAAAGCTCACTGAACTGATTGATGCTACGATTAGTGCTTAAACAAAGACAAAACTGAACTGATTCTAATATTATAGCTCCAAGGGTGTAATGAATGTTCTTACTTTTTCCATCTGCCTGACCTGTTTTTTATAAAAAAAAATTGTGACAGTTACTACAAAAAATCTGTTTTATGTGTGTTTTTTTTTTTTTAAATTTATATCAGCTTCATTACAGGCCCTGTTTCAAACAGAATTAAATGTTTGCTTTTTTGTTTATGTTGACCAAAGTCCTTAGTTTCCATGCTGTGTTATTTTTTTTCTCTTGACTGTATACTTTAATCCGGTGGAATCAGGGTTTAATTATTGATATGTACACACTTGGTGTCCTCTTTGTCTCAGTTAAAAAAAAAATTTTTTGGTTGTTTTGTTGGGATTTTTGTTGTTGTTTTGTTTTTTGTTTTGTTTTTTTTAAACCAAAAAAGGCCTTGTTTTGCATGAACCTTATCTGGCAGTGGTTTATGTCACAAGTCAGTAATTTACCCATAATTTTCCAAGGAATAGTCCTGAAAGAAAACACCTAATTAGGCACCATGTGTATTGTCTGATCAAGATAATACTTCAGAGAAACTGGACCAAAAAAAGCCACACATGTACCAACGGAAAGAAATGTGCTCAGGCAAGAAGGCCATATAGATTTTTACTATTTTATGTGCATGGTTTATTTATCCTTACCAAACAAACAAAGAAATCACAGCTCCTGCTGCCTCTCTTGCTCCTGGAACAAAATCATAAATCTTCCCAGGCGAATGCTGGCCCTATACCTTTCCACCTGTATAAACTTGAGATGTCCATAATGCTGCTCTATTATAAAACTAAAGAAGAAAACAAAGCAAATATCCGGAATAAACACTTAAAACACATATTAACTTGTTCAGATACTAAGTAAAGGAAAAACAAAGATCAAGTGAGTTTAGATGCATTTTTTAAAAAAAGAATGCTTTGTTTAAACCAGAATAAATAGTTCTGAAATTATCTTATTACTGAAAAATATATTTTACAGATAAGTTGACTTGTACACATTTGACACAGTTCAGTCTCAGTTTGATTAATTTGATTAATGTGGAATTACACAGACTTTTTCAGGAATGTTTCTATGACTGAATATAGTAGTTTTAGGAGACTTTGCCCCCCCTCCCTCCCCGAAAAAAAAATGCTTTACCATGTATTTATGTCAATTATCTTTTTTAAAAATGCATTATTGTATACATGTATAAATGTATGTATACATTTTGATTTTTGTGTTACCACAGCTGGACCTGCACTGTCACTATCTGTATGTACATGTAATCATTTTAAATACATGCAAATTAAAATACTTCAATGACGTTTTGTGTTGCCATTTCTTACAGTATTTTCAGTTTCTTCTCTCAATGTAAATACTACCTCACCACATTGGATTTAACAATTTACAGTTGAGCCGCTAGGTGGCAGTAGAAAACTAAATCTGGTAGACACTTTTTATAGTGTGTTAATTATCATTGCTTGTCTGTTGTTGTAGCTGTAGGATAATAAACACCTGGAACACAAACAGTCTACATACAGTATTTTACTAATTAAACCTTAAAATGATGTATTAACTTGTAGTCCAATGAGAACTTCATGTTCTGTTCTCTCCATCTTTCACATGTTTTTAACACTGACTCTATGTGCACTTGAATAAGGCAGTGACTGACTGACGCACCTCCGACCAATCAGCTTGTTGTAATTTGTCACTTCCTGCTTTTAGGCCAATCACTGCAGAGCATCAACAATCTTCTACAAAGTGCGGTTGAGTCGAGGTCTCCTATTGGACGAGCTCTGTTCTCATCTGGATCTGAAGTTCTTAACCTTCAAAATAAAAGGTGTTGCAGATGCGCAGAAATAGATGCTAATAACACAAAAACAAATGTTAACCTTAAGTACAAATTTGGGATCCAAGATGTTCATCGATCAAAATAGTAAAGAGAAACAATAATTCTTATGATACCTTGCTAATACAATTACATTTGTGAGGTAAAATTAAGTAGATTTGAAAAATTCTTTACATTTAAATAGCACATCTCACAGAAAAATCCTCACATATCTCACAAATATTAGCAGTAATTAATCTAACAATGCTTTTCCAAAATGTTTTCGTGTGAGACTGAATAAAGCAAAATTTCAGATCGTGTCTCACAGAAACTGTTCAGTTAACTTAGTAACCTTCATGTACAATCTTATACAAAAATTATCTTGTTCTCAGTGAAATATTTGTCCAACAACATCTATTTTGGGATTGCATTTTTAAGTTTTAACTCCTGCTGGTAATAATACATAAGAAATTATTTACTGAAGCACTATAGATCTGATATAAGCCATTGACAAAGTAGTTTGAAAAAAAGTTATGTGTTTCGTACTTAAGCCACTGAATCTGTAGTTAAATGTTTGCCAGTAATGAATCATGGAGGGAAATCCAAAATGAAGCATTCTGTCTGCAAATGTCTTCCCCTTAGTGAGTCACTAAGAAGTCATTTTTAAATCATCATTTTTTATATCTTTAGTCCCATGATTATTTTCCTGGGCTTTACCTTACCAGTCCTTTGCCTGCTGTCAAATAAAAATAATTTTTAAAAGTCTGCAAGCATAAATGGAAATCAGAAAAATCTACTTGCAAACAAGACAAGTCATTGCTAAAGGGCTGAAAACACATCAAGAGTTAGGAGAAAATAAGAGAGTTTTTAAATAGATCTTGTGTGTGTTTTTTTATTAAAGGCCTTTTGTTGTGATGAAGTTACTGAATGATTTCATAAGATTAATTGCAATCTTCATTACCTTCTGATCTTAGCTTCTTTCAACTAACAAAGACAAGACTGAAAAAAACCTAAATAAACATCAAAAAGTAGAGGCTGGTGCTTTGTGCATAACTTCAGTCCAAAACAAAAATGTAAAAGTCTAAGACCCAGGTCACATTGATAAAAAATCTAAAGCAATATCAGCATTATAAATAATCATCACTGTTTCATATTTAACTGCACTTTTATTTTTTATTTTAATTGTATACTCTATATTTTATTTGCTCTTGTTTTTCTTGTCTTTATCAACTCTTTTAGTCAGTTTTGTTTGTTCCATTTGGTTCAACTTGATCTTTAATGTGTTCTATTTTTTTTTATTTATTTATTTTAACTTTTGCCTGTAAAATATTTTAAATAACCCCTGTGTATGATAAGGTGCTATAAAAATAAACGTGCTTGCTTTTTATTAACTGTTTCTAATTATTTACCTCCTCGTCTTGTGAACTGTAGCTTACACTTGGCAGCTTGGGGGGTGTTTTATTTTGAAAAGCGCCTGAGGAAGTTAGCATGCCACTTAGAGCAGCTTTTCACTGTTTATCTGAACTGAACGTCCACAAATGTAGATGCAGGAAGCCGCAATGAGAGCGTTTTGTCCGAGTCCCGTCGTCTAACCCTATGGACATTTGTTCGTCGTGTCGTTTCGTGTCCGCGGCGGACGGTGGAAATGCGGAGGCCGACGAGAGACGAGGACTGTCCGTGTACGAGTCAACGTTACCGGGGATGAAGCGGACGTGTTGTGTCTGACTCTCACTCTATCCTCAGAACCAGGCATCATCTTTTTAAAACTTCCAAAATGAGGATCTTCACGTCTCTGCTGAAAAACGCCAATCCCAAAATCGAGTATTACTCCAGATTTTCACCGTCCCCACTCTCCATCAAACAGTTTCTGGATTTTGGTGAGTAGTGCCTGAATATAAAACAACAGGGGCCTTTTTATTGTCTTGTCATTTTATCCACTCCACTGTGGATTCCTAATGTCACACATGAGCCATATTTATAAAGAAAAGTCCACTGCTAGCTGTCATGAAACATCAGAGGTGATGTTGGGTTTCAGTTACCCAGCACTAGCAGCAGCAGCATGCAAGCTAGCTAGTCCCTCTGCATGACATCTCTCCTGATGCAGGTTTGTTTACTCTGTCAACATGTGATTACACGCTGTTTACTGCATGCAGGTATCCTCAGTCAGACAGGGACAACAGCACGTATGCAGTGGCAGCTGCTCATGTTACCCAGTGGCTAATCAAGGCTTACTCATCTTTTCAGGTTTACTTACTCTGCTACATTTTTAAGCTTTAGGGGGGGAAAAAATAATAAAACGTGTGCTTTTTTTTCTTTCCTCCAACTGATGAAGCACACCAAGTGGGAACTGAGTCAATTAAAAAAGGAATAAAACACAAGTGAGACATCTCATCCTATCTTATAAGATAAGATAAGCTTTATTGTCTCCAAAGCGAAATTAGCTGAGTGTAGATTTTACAGCTCTGCGACTACAGACATGATAATAAACCAAAAGATACACAACTAGGGACAGAATTAGCAATGTGTACATATATAACATCTAAAACACACATATACATCTACACATATGTACTTGTAAGACCGCCTTCATTAAAACAGATAAATAACTCAGTTGATCAAGTAACAGTGAATCAGATTAAATTAATAGGAAACAGGCATCAACAGGTTTAAATGGGGTTGTTGCTTGTTGAGCAATTTAAAAGAAAAAGGAATAAAAGACCCCTATACATGCAGGCTACTGAAGGTGGTAGTTTGTAGTCTAAATATAATGTGAGAGGGGTCCCTCAGGATCACCTGTGCATGTCCAACAACAGTTTTTCATAGACCGCCCTAAGGGACGGTCATTCTTCCCTCCCAGTCACTTTCTTTTTGACTGTAAGGGTGCCGTATAATGCCGTATCTGATTAGACTCTCCATTACAGCACTATAGAGTGTAAAACCGTGATCTTTGTGCCGACACCAAACAGTCCGCAGAGAAAGTGAAATTTCTGAGCCGGCCGAGCACAATGACTGTGTCAGACCCAGACGAGAAGACTTGAAACGCAAGATGACAGTTATTAATTGCGTCTCATAGCTGCACTCGAGGCTTTTCTTAATCCACCTCTGATTAAACACAGTCATGTCCAGTTACGTAACCTGTTCTCACAGCTGTGGATTGGAGGAGGAGTACAGGAAGTGTGCGGCACTTGTTTGCGCTCAGAAACTCGGCGAGGGTCTTGTCAGCAGTAATTGTTCCTGTCAAGAGAGCAGCGGGACAAAAAGATGCCGGCGTGTTTCACAGCGGAACAAAGGAGACGTCATGCAAGTCGGCACGTGTGTTACATGATGACACATGAGCAGTGTGTGTCGTCCCAGCTTTTCTTTATGTTGCTAAATCACTTGAAGCCTCTCCTGTGAGCTGAGATGCTGGGACACTCCCTATCATTCTGACACGTCACTGTGACACTAAAATAACAACATCTCATATTGTCTCGTCTCTGTTGGAGTCATAAGGTCACTCACGGGGTGACACAATATCTGCACAATAAGTTTCCTGTTACACAAGTTGTTTGTGTTCTTTAATGAACCCTTGTTCCTTTTCTAATGGCATGAAGTACCTGAAATATTTTCCTCAACAGATTCTCGCTGTGTTTACTGCTGTTCTCAGCTCAAGCTTAATAGGATTCATATGTGAGTGCTCACACATGAGAAGCTGAGCTGTGCGAACACTTCAGACTGCAGTGTGGTCAAATTGAGGATGTAAAAATGCAAAGCCGGGTTGCACGCTCATTTTCACCAAAGATGTTTCACCACAGCCGGCACTTTTTCTGCTCAGATCTCAAACATGAGTCTCTCTAGCCCCTCTGTGACTCCCCTCCTCCACTCCCAAATAGATTTATGATTTCCTTGTATAGTTTTGTATAAACTTCAAGCTAATGTTGGCAGACGGTTAATACCGCTGCAGCCAGATAGCGAGGTTTAAGGTGTCAAGTTAAAGGTTGGATATTGAAACCAACTGCAGCAAGGTGCTTGCAAATTTTAGCTGAGGTTGGTACGCTTACTTTTTCTACTTCTCATACAAAAAGGTTGGTTTTAGTTGTATAAATTATTTTTAAAAGGCTGTGTGTTTTCCTTGTTTTTACATTACAATGAGAATACAATAGAAATTTGATTAAAAAGGTGAATTTTGTAATCTATAAACTGCTGTAACTATTTACAGGAAGGGCAGAAAAAACAAACTAAACCCAGAATGTCGTTATTGACAGTGTCAGAACGTTTATGTGTCGCCTGTAATCTACACCGATTAGTTACAACACCAAAACTACCTGCACAATATCGTCCCTCTCATGTCGCCAAAACAGCTCTGACCCACATCTCTCCTGTGGTGTCAAGGACATTGGCAGCAGATCCTTCAGGACTCGTGGGTTGCAGGGTGGGGCACCCGTGGATCAGGCTTGTTCTGATGCAAAGAAACATCCACATGAATGCCAGCACCCAGGGTTTCCCAGCAGAACGTTGCATTGTAACATGAAACAACGCTGTTCACTTGCTTCACCAGTCAGTGGTGTAGCTACAGAGCGTATTTCTTGGCAGGACAAGTTCATTCCCTCTCATGCAAGCTATACCAGAATCTCCAGATATTCTAGTCATCATGTTTGTTTTTCTAATCTCAGGCAGGGACAATGCATGTGAGAAAACATCTTACATGTTCCTGCGTAAGGAGCTGCCCGTTCGGCTGGCAAACACCATGAGAGAGGTCAACCTGCTGCCTGACAAACTGCTTAGCCAGCCCTCCGTCAGACTGGTCCAGAAATGGTAAGATGCTTCCTGCAGAATTTGTTCTTTGAATGGCTGCCAGGTGATAAGCTTTATAATGGTTGTATTGTCAGGAAGCGTGTGTAAAACTTCCCTTTTGATCTTTGCTTGCTTTATTAGGTACATGCAGAGCTTTGTGGAGCTGCTGGATTATGAGAACAGAAAACCAGAGGACCGTCACGCTCTGAACGAGTGAGTGAATGTTGACTTCGAAATAAAAGCTAATCAAAGTAAAGTATAGTCAGTAAAGCTTTGTCAAGCAGCCAGCCGTTAAAAACTGGCTTCATTTCATTATGTCTAAAGTTCTTTTCCACTGCAGCTGTTCTACTTGGTACACATACATCTCTGCTGACTGTGCAGGCAACACTGTATTTATGCTACAACAACGTGTGTCTGATAAACAACCGTGCATGACTGACAGGAATTTGTGACCCGTCTGTTTAGAGAACACATTTCCAAGTATTGTTCAGGTCTCTGGAAATGAAAGGACAGTGACATTAAGATTGGTCATCAGAGTTGTGCAACAGTTGTGTTTATTTTTTTGTGCAACAGTAATAGTTAAATAAACAACATTCATACTGGTGCAAACTTTCACCTAGTGCTAGACTTTAACATTTATTACTTGATTATTTTTTTGATGAAGATGCTCTTGCGTACATGTTTGTCTACCAGTGCACCAATCAGGAGTAGTGCAGCTAATTTCCTGGTATTCTGCACAATACAGTGACGATAAAGGCTTTCTATTCTGTTTGATTTTATTCATCTTGACTGTGCCGTTTGCGTGACTATGCATGAAATAATGAGAGATTTACAAAAGCACAACATCGCTGACAATCACCAAATGGTGCATTTTTTGCAGTTTCCTGGAGCTCCTGATCGAGATCCGTAACCGTCACAACGATGTGGTTCCCACCATGGCTCAGGGCGTCATCGAGTACAAAGAGAAGTTCGGCTTTGACCCCTTCATCAGCAGCAACATCCAGTATTTCCTCGACCGCTTTTACACCAACCGCATTTCTTTCCGCATGCTCATCAACCAGCACAGTGAGTCTCAGACACCCGTTTGTTTAATTTGGATCGCAAACTCTGGCCTGTCTTTGCGACTAAGTTTTCTTTCCTTGTGTTTGTTTTGTAGCCCTCCTGTTTGGTAACGACACCAACCCGGCCCATCCCAAACACATAGGCAGCATCGACCCCACCTGCAGTGTGGCCGAAGTCGTCAGCGGTGAGTTGAGGGATTATAAACGCTAATAGGTCACATATGCAGAGTTTATTTAATACAATTAGTTTAATTTACTTCCACATTTAGCTCCTTCTAATGCTATAATTCAGTTTGAACCGTCAAGCACCACATGGTATGAGAAAATATTTTGTTATCTGTGGTTTGACTCCTTTTTTTTTTTTTACTTTTAACTCAAATATTTGTATTGTTCTTTCTTAGCTATGTTTTTATCACACCTTTCACTCTCACAATTCAAACATAACCATGTGCACTTTTGCTAAAAGGCACGTTTGCACGATAGTTTTACAGGAATTGCTTGGATTCATAACTGCACTCTCAGTGACCCAGTTAGGGATGCAGGCTTCGGTAGCAACATGTGACAAGAAGCAGTAAACATACTCGGCTAGCTCTCTTCTAAGTCTTCTTGTTTTGCCTCCTCCATCAGATGCCTATGACACTGCCAAGATGCTGTGTGAGAAGTACTACTTAGCCGCTCCCGGGCTCAAGATCGAAGAGTTCAACAGTAAGAGCGTTTTTGTGCGTCTGTGTATACATTTTCCTGTTTCTCCCTGTAATCTGTCACAGTGTTGTAAAACTGAGCGTTCTCCTACCCGGGCTTTTTACGGCTTGTGGGTGCAGCAAGGGAGCCCAGATTTAGCCCTGTAATGATTACAGTGCTCACCGTCTCATTAACTTCAAAAGAATCAGCTTTGTGTGTTGTGTGTGTATGTGTGTGTACATGTGTGTGTGTGTCTGATCTTCTCACACTTCCTGAACTCTTTTTCTTCCAGTGAAGGCTCCCAAAAAGCCCATTCAGGCGGTGTATGTGCCCTCTCATCTCTTCCACATGTTGTTCGAGCTCTTCAAGGTAAGCAGTTTAAGTGACGTTAACCTAATGTGACTATAATTCTGTAAAGAGTCCCGCTGAATGGAGTTAACGAACTCTGCCGGCGTTCGCAGAACTCAATGAGAGCGACGGTGGAGCTTCATGAGAACAGTAGTGAGGGATTGCCTCCAGTGAAGGCAAAAGTCACTCTGGGTAAAGAGGATCTCTCGATAAAGGTAAATCAGACACACGCGCGCATGCATCATTGTAGCTTTTTGTCTTCCTGCCTGCTTCATTCGCTCCATCCCTTCCCGTCTTTAGATCAGTGACAGAGGAGGAGGAGTCCCTCTGAGGAAGATAGACCGTTTGTTCAACTACATGTACTCCACTGCCCCGACACCAAGCCTGGAGCCAGGAGCCGTCCCACTGGTACACACACACACTCACAAAATCAAATCAGTATTGACCCTGGTGACCAAAGCCCCTTTTAGTCGATGCGTTTATCATAAATGGTATGACATCTGGGATAATAACCTTGATTTATATTCCTGCCCCGTACAGGCCGGTTTTGGCTATGGTTTACCCATTTCCAGGCTCTATGCCCGATACTTCCAGGGGGATCTGAAACTCTACTCCATGGAGGGAGTGGGCACGGATGCTGTCATTTATCTGAAGGTAAATTGAGCTTGCCGAATATGGAGTATGCTGTAGGAGTCTGTCGCTACCTCAGAGTTTAAATACATAGTTGCAGGAGAAGATCGATGCCGCGATCATGCGTGTCTGTTAAGTGTAAAGATCAAGTTAGATGGCACATTAAGACTGGAAGGAGGGGGGAGTAGCTAGCGTTGTCATGAGTTTAAAAACCCTGAGCATCTCTAAAGCTCATTAGTTAATTTATTATATATAGTTTGTTTAATCTGAGCACAAAATGACAGGTTGTGGTTGTAGTAGGTGGCTAGTTTTTGGCAGCTAGCTTGTCCACATAACACAGTTTCCATTGGCCTTCAGTCTTTGTGCTAAGCTAAGCTAATTATCTCCTGGCTCTAGTGTTCTATTTAGGCCCTTCTAACGCTTGTCATGTAACTAAATGGTAATAATTTTGCCATGAGAGATAAACAATTGTGTGTTCTCATTGGCTCTCGTGTTTTGTGTCTCCATTTAAAGGCTCTGTCCAGCGAGTCCTTTGAGCGCCTGCCTGTCTTCAACAAGTCAGCGTGGCGGCATTACAAGACCAGCCCCGAGGCGGACGACTGGAGCAACCCCAGCAAAGAGCCACGCGACGCCAGCAAGTCCAAATACAAAGCCAACAGATAACTCTGCCCAGCTTGCAAAAGCAAAGCCCTCCGCCGGGAGCCGCAGCGCCCGCACCCTGCGCAGAGCGATGAAATGTTGCCCTTGGGTAGACGCTTGGTTTAGGATCAGACTTGGTTTTACATTCCAGTGGTTAAAAGTTTGGAAAGGATGGATGACCTTGACTTAAATCTGTACCCAAAGGCAATGACCTTCATCAGCGTAGCTTTCATTGTTGTGGCATTACCACTGGCTCTCCCAAGATGGAATTTTAAAATGAACCTCTTCCAAATTACAGATCCCCAGTGTCTAACCCCATTTACCAAATAACAAAAAACAAAAACAAACAAACAAAAAAATGGTTGTTCTGGTGAATCTTCATGTTCTCAAACCAAATTTTCTGCGTTACTTCCATCTCTCCCTCTGTCTCATGCACTTTGGCCCGCCTCATCTTTGCTGACTAGGCTGCTGCTCCCTGTGGCTGAAAAAGCCTTGCACTGCTGATTGAGTGTCTTTCCCACCATCAGCGAGGGCTTGTATTCTGTTTCTCGCTCTCAAAACACAAGCAGAGTCGGGGGGGTTGAGTTTCAGTGCAAATGGGAAGAGGAGGAGGTTTCATTTCCTTCCTTTGGGAGACACTTTTGACTGAACGCACAATTAGGCCAGTGTGTCACTGGCATAGCAAAGACTTGTTTTGGTTACAGTCAGTTTTAGCCTGAGAAAATTTCAAAGGAGATTATTTAAAGAAGAGAAAATAATAGCACTTAAACGACTAGAGGAAGCAGTAGTGTTTATATTATCATGTCAAAGACAGAAAGCCTTACTTCTGGAAACTTACACCATGTTTGATGTTTAAAAAAAAAAAAATGCCTCAAAGGCTCCACTGGAACTTTAAGAATATTTATGAAGTTGAGTATTTTGTTTATCTTTTATTTGTTTAGTTTAACTCTCAAAAGTTAACCAGCCACCTACAGTCCATGGAAAGACCCTCATCAGACATTTCAGCTTGTAATCCAGCTCTGTGCTTTGATTTAACTCCTTATCAACCAAAGGGGCTGATGCTCTTGAAACGCCACCATGACAGCGTCGTCTGTCAAGTAGCTTCGACCACACCAGCATGACGTATTGTGTAAATGCTCACAGAAGGGAATGGACCTGTTGCAGCACGCAAAGACTATAAAAAAGAGGATTGCATCATTACTTTGTACATTTCTTCATTTCATCCTGCAACTTGGTCAGACCTGCCATGGTGGATAAACAACATGCGCACAGCTTGGACCTGCTTTTCTAACAGTGCTTCATCCAGTCAGCCTCGTGTCTCGTCGTGTATTACTAATCCTCACAGTCTTCTGGACGAGTTTGAACAAAGCTTGTGTATTTTTTTCAAAAATGTGCTTGTGTTTTATTGTCGTGAGTGAGAATGACAGAATTAGAAGATGCAGCTAAAATCCAGGAGGAGTTGATGCTTGACAGGTTTTGAATGATTTCATGCAGGAACAAAGACGGTTCAGGACGGTGCACTATTTTACTTTACTTTTTGTTATTGATGTTAGCACAGGATTGCTTTTTGATGATCTTTTAATGATTGTAGGTTTGCTGACTGCTTGATTTTTCTTTATTTATTCATTAGGGAGTCATGCAAGTTGAGTGTGTGGAAAAGCTGGCGGGGGAGAATGTGGTCAGGGGAACAGAATTTCCAACCACTTCAACGTCTCTGGGCACTTAATATCCGATTTTTGTCACATGGTTCATATTCAGGAGCATTTTTAGCGCACTTTAATAACCCTTCCTGTATATTTTGCTTCAAAAAGCTTTCATACAATCATTTCAGACCTGCCGGGAAGTAATTACGATCAGGTCGGCACTTCATATAGCAGCGTAATTCTTGGAACTACTAAACAAGACCTATCCGAACCCACTTGGTCAAAACGGATGATGGTGAATTTTAACAATCTAAAGTGGCTTTCTTTTCCCACTTCCTTTAGCTGCCTTTCATCTGCCATGAAAAGAAAGAAGAATTGAGAATGGAAAACTTCATCCCCCCTGCAGGTTCTTGGCTTCACTGTCAGATTTCATCACTGCCAATGCCTTTGTAACCTGCCAGTCTCACTCGATGACAAACCTGCTGTAAAGGAAGTGCTGCGTTATAGGTTAGCAGCTGATGTGTAGGTTAACATGTGGTCCGGTCATTATCTCCTCAAATTCACATCTTGATCAAATTCCAGTTTTCATGATTTAAAGGATCAAGGATCTTCCACCATCAGTAACCGTCAACCTTTACTGTTAAAGACTGTCTCTGTACTTAGGGTGTTGTAGAAAATATTACATATATATATAGCTATATATAATGTGTATATACAGCCAGTGTGGAGTGATCGCTTTGTTTTCCATCCTGCTGTACATCCAGCCTAAAAGATGTATTTGTATGCGCCTCAGTGTGGAGGCAGTCATGCAGAGATATGCAAGCAATGCAACATTCACCAAAAAAAAAAAAAAAGTGTTCGAGCAGTCTCATGATGTGATTCAGCATGAAATCAACTTACAGCACCAACTGTCAAACCTGGCAATAAAGAAAACTGCTGTTGTGTGTGATCCATCTACTGAGTTTGGATCTTTTTTTTAAAGATAAAATGCACTTGAAGTCACATTCTGTTATACATTTTTGTTTTATTTACATATCAAGCCATTTGAACGTTAAATTAAAAAAAAAGAAGAAAAAAAAGGACACGTATTCCCAAAGTTTGTACATATAGTGCAGATTAACATGTAGCGCGTACAGGACATTAACATTGCATTAGGGTATTTATTGTGTTGTTGGGGTGGAAGAGAGGCCTGCTCTGCCCTCGATACAGGCAAGCAGACCTGAACAAAAGAGTTGTTACGTACATTTCTAATAACGGCAACAAAAATATTAGGACTACCTCAGGCGTGTGATGACCTGAAGCTTCACCCAGAGAACTAATTTCTATATATTTCAAGTATCATCAGAGTTTGTCAGGTTTTTATTGACAGCTGACATCATATTCCCAAGAGCCACAAAAAAAAGAAAATGTCTGCTAAACACTGATTGATAAAACATGGAAAACCCAAAACATATATGGCTTTTTTTTTTTTTTTTATAAATGGTGAAAATCCACAAATTTTTCCATTAATAGTAACATTTGTGAGGCCTCTCAATGTGACTACAGATGCAAGGGATTACATCTACTCTCTATGTGCAGTCTCTAAGACTCAGTTTACATTCAAGAAGTTAAGATCAAGGCGTTTTGTTCTTTTTTTTTCTCTGTCTAATCACAATCAAGTTTGTGGGGACTAACAGACACTTAACATATTAGGTGCAGAATAAACCTCAGGGGCTCGTGTTAGTGTCTGTGTTTAAGGACAGACCTGTTTCCACTATCATTCCTAAACAGAATTGATTAATATGAGTTCAAAAACTATGTAGTTAAATTTGTTCTCTCTCTCTCTCTTTTTGCACCAATCATATCTATTTTAGGTAAATATTTGGAATATACAGACTACTTCAAGGCTCACTGCAATTTCCTACAGAGAATTTCATATGGATACTTTAAATCACAGTTCTTTGAAAGTGGTCATTGCCGTCGCATGGAACTGGTGATGATTTACGCAAAAGTGGTGTAAAATAACACTGACTATGTGTTTGAGTGCAAAGAGGTTGTCCACAGTGTCTGCTACTCTGTGGGGGGGGAAGGGGGCAGTGTCTCTCTTTTCATTTCTAACTGTCAGTTCAACGATAATAAAGTGATGCATGAAACCAGCTCCAGGTTACCTGTAGGACTGAATGTCAGACGCAGTGCTTCTGTAACTTTGTGCCAGCTCGCATGTAGTAGACACAGCAGTTACAAGAAAACGTGGCATCTTATAAAAGAAAACGATGAACTTAACATAACAGGACAACAACTAAAAAAAAAGAACTGTGATATTAGAAGCAGGCTGTTTGACAGTCTCTATCAGTGCTGGACAACCCAAAGCAAATCCTCTTCGAAGATATCGCGCAGGAGTCTTGTCCTTCTTACAATATGCGACACTGTGTACATAAATCCTCTTCTTCCTTCCTCTTCCATCTGTCTGCTTGGTTGCCCAGACAACAGAGACAGTGACGGGCTTCTGAGCTCTGTAGCCCAGAACTACATTTCCCATGATCACTGTCGGCATTGCATATTTGCAACATCCTTGAGGGTAACTGTGTCAGTTTCCAGCCAGTGTTTGTAGGAGTATATGTGTGTGTGTGTGTGTGTATGAACAGTTTCCAGGCAGTGTGGTGTGAGTGAAGTGTGTATATGTGTGTGTATATATGTGTGTGTTCAGCAGTCCGTCTACTTCTCATCTTCATCGCCTTCACTCATGCTGCTCATGGAGGCAGATGCTCCTTTGGGGGAGGTCGGGGGGGAGGGCCGTGCATTGTGCCAGCGGGCGGGGGGAGACGGGGGAGAGGGCGAGCGCAGGGGGGACAGTTCGCGGGGAGGACTATTGCAGGGCGACTCTCTGGGAGAAAGAGCGTAGGACAGCATTCGACCACTGCGTTCCTGAAACACTTGTTTCTGTACAGAGACAGAGGGGAGAAGAAAGGTTAGGTGATTGTACACACAGCATAAAAGTCCAAATATCATAAAACTTCTAATTTTCTGGTTGTATAATTAAATATACCCAATAAAAGATGGTTAGAAAATGTGCAAAAAATTTAAAATGGTCAAAATGTTAAGATCCTTTGTGTCCTTTTTCATAATCAAATAATATCAAGAGTTACTTACCCATGTCCCATCTGGTCCAAAAAGTTCTAGAAAGTTCCCAATAAATTCTCTGGACTTCTCTTCCCATTTCTGAATGAGGTCGTGACTCTTCTCCTCCACGCGATAAACAAAATGTTTGCTCTTTTCCTCAACCGTGCGAACTTTCTCCTTCATGCGATCCACCTGGTTCTGTAGCCGGTACTTCTTCTCCTGACGGGATCAAATGTTGAGGAAAAAGTCATTAAAAACACGAATCCCCATAGAACCAGAACCTCAATCACATTCTGGTGTTTGTGCCCCGAATAATCAAAATAAGAAGTATCTGCCTGAGACTTGTTTTCCATGCAGGAGCATTGTGAGGATGTTTTTGTCACGTATGGTTGCATGACAAATTAAGCAGAATACAGCAGAAGCTTTCCTGTCACAATTTTAAAAGCAGCAGAACTGTTTCCTTCAATGTGCATGCACCCTTGATGTACATTCTAATAAGAAAAATGCTAATACGATGTTATCAGAGTGAACTTCCTTAGCATAGTTTGGTTCATGAGTATTGGGACGGTCACACAATTGTCGTACTTTAGCCTTTTTTTGCCACCACAGTGGATTTGAATTGAAGCAGTCAAGATGATTTCAGCTGTAACTCAAGAGGTTGAAACAGGTTTATTTTTAATAACTGGATGCGAATCCTTTGCAGTCAATGACCGACTGAAGCTTGGAACCCTTTGGACATCACCAAATACTGAGTTTCCTGCTTTGAGATGCTCTACCTGACCTTTACTGCAGCCTCCTTCAGTTGCTGTTGTTAATGAATCTTTCTGCCCTCAGCCTTGTCTTCAGTAAGTAAAAAAGCAGAACGGACAGCTCTATGTACTCCAGAGTTTACCCTGCTACTTCTGTGAGCAGCCACATTATCATAAACACTGGTTGCCCAGCAGCCATAACACTACCTCATCTACATTTAACAATGGCTAATGTTTGCTTTTAATCATTCTTTTCCTTCCAATATTCTGCCATTTTAGATGCTTTTCTGGTAAAGTCTAATCTGGCCTCCCTGTTCTTCAGTGACACCAGTGGTTTGCATTTTGTGGTAAAATCTCTGTATTTACATTTTAATGAAGTGTCTCCTGATTGTAGACTTTGACAATAATATGCCTACCTCCTTGAGCGTGTTCTATATTTGGCTAAATGTTGTGGATGTTTTTTTCCTCAACAAGGAGGGACTTCTGCAATCATCCAATTTAGCTGTCCTGCATAGCCTTCAAGGCCATTCAGTGTTGCTGAGCTTCTCTGATAGCTCTGTTCTGTTCAGCACAATGATGGCCTCCTTCCACTTGCATCAGCGCCTCTCTGGACTGCATATTCAAAGTTCCCCTGAGCAGCTACATGCGGATTCAGCACTTCAAATCAATTCCAGCTTTTTTATCTCTTTGAATTATCATGAAATAACAAAGGAACAGACCACACCTGATCATGAAACTGCTTATCAGTCAATTACCTTTGAGTCTGTGGATATCGAGCAACTGTGTGAAAAAAATGGCTGTAAATCCTAAACAGTTAAGGCAATATTCCTTTTGTTGTTTTTTTTTGTTAAACCACTTCAATTATAGCTGAAAGTCTAGACTTTAATAACACTTTGTTTTCTTCTTTTAAAATCTATCAGGTCGATGTACAGAGGCAATCTCTGTCCAAAGAGACCAACTGTATGTTGCCTATCCTCCCAAACAAGTCATACTTTTCTCACAATAATCAGTGTTAATGTACTGTTTAGAAATACAGCAACTGCAGCAGATGAATGGATCGTGCTCTTACGTTGATGTAGCTGACGTTTAGCTCCTTGGCCGTGTAGCCACGTTGAAGGTTGCGTCGGGCGTAGACGTCATAGTCTCTGACAATTCTGGTTATCAAGTCAGAAGTTGAGATTCCCTCTGTCCTTTGTGTGGGCACAAACATCCCTGATACACACACGTAACACACAGAATTTAAAAACTGCCCGAGGCGCATTTTAGGAAAAAACATTATTTCATTGTCCTAAATTCCCATACACTAACCTGCCTCCTTGATGTGTTTATAAACGTCCTCACTTCCTGCTGAGGAGTATGGGATATCATCATGAGCCACAAAGTCGATCTGAGAAACAATCAAAGGACACGTACTGTATGGCAGAAAACACAGCACTGGCAGACAAACATGTGGTAACAAAAAGTGAGCATACAGTAAGTGTTTTAAGTTGTGCAAAACATGCACACTTAAAGTAGGACGCGACAAGGGTTTGGTCGTAAATACACACAATTCCACACACAAGTGTTAAAAAGCACCGAGGTCATATTCACAAAGGCTTTTATCTTATCATTATCATATTCCGTACTATCATTGTCATATCAAGTCCTTCTGAATGGTGATCAAAGTCTCCTCCTTTAGGTTATGCACAACAAGGTGATCCTGTTGCTATGAATGACATCATGTGTCTGAATTCATTTATCACCATGGTAACTGTTAACAAGGT